TGCTAAGGAACAAACACTATTAGCGTGGCATACAAGAGGTTTGGATGCTGTCACAGCAGTGTAAACGGTCAGCACGCCGCACTTGCAACCCAGAGGCCACGTGGCAGTCGAGACAACGGGGCAAGGTGTTTAAGTCACCCTTCCATCGCCTCTGTCCACACAGCAGCATAAACGGGTTCTACCACAGCCCGGTAGATCGCCAGGTCGTGTGTGGTAGGCTTGAACGTGAGAACTCTCACCTAATTCCAAGACGTCTGGCCAGCGTGGAAGAGTAGGCCAAAACACCCTCCAGAGAAGCCGTCTGGAGCTCCCCTCAAGTGTCGGGCCCTTCCACTAGCAAAGTGGCATTAGCATGCGATTGCAGGGCTGCACCTTAACTTTTATCAGAGGTTTGGCCCGACAGTAGCCGGTCATCCCCCCAGCAGCGGCTTTTGGCTGGCCATCGAACAAAGACGGCCAATGCACCGCGCGCGTTCAGACGCGCTTCTGCGGCCGTCTGGAAAGCTCTCCCTTCCGATATGAGGGAGCCGCTGGAGCTGCGCAATTTTAAATCATCTCGCTTGAAAACCAATTTCTTGAGAACTGCCTGTTTCATCTTCTTGGTTCTTTCGGTAAAGTCACGTAGAATGGAAATAATAAAATAATAAAAATAAAACATTATTAAATAATTCTCACGACGTTTCGGCCACAACACAAGCAGCCGTCCTCAGGTGGAGAACGTCGTGAGAATTATTTTATTATGTTTTATTTTTATTATTTTATTATTTCCCTTCTACGTGACTTTACCGAAAGAACCAAGAAGATGAATCCCTGCAGTCACGAACGCTTTAAATCGAAATTTAACTGCCTGTTTGTGTTTAGTTTGTTGTCCTTCCCCCGCACGTGCGATTAGCGCGGTTGGCTACGTACGGTGCGAAAGGAGGTCAACGTACAAGGGTGGTGGTGAGCACCTGGAGGCAAGGGTGGGCAAATCATGTGGATCTGTGAAACTCAAAAGCCCACTGTAGCGGCGATGTAGCTGGGACGTACATTCATCCCAGCAAATGGCTTCCCGAGAACCCATGTGTGTGGACATGTGAATGTTGTCCTCTCAGACACGTGAGTTTTCTTCCAAGTCCTCTAATGAAGCCCCCCCCCCCCCCCCACCACGTGCTCAACAAAAAAGGCTAAAACGCGGACAATGCAGAACCAATTCTAGATTTGAAGCTTTCGTGACTGCAAGGATTCATATTCTTAGGTGTTTTCGGTAAAGTCACGTAGGTAAAACATTGATATTAATAAAAGTAAAATAAAATAAAAATCCGAAACGTCGTGATTTTTATTTTATTTTACTTTTATTAATTTCAATGTTTTACCTACGTGACTTTACCGAAAACACCTAAGAATATGAATGCATAACCAGCCTGGAAATAATGCCCTGGGGTTCCCTGGATCTGAATGAAGTCACATTGTTGAAGTCGTTTGGTGACGTTAACTTCAACGTCAATGAGGTGGTGGTACATCACTCACCAACTGCGATAAATGAAAACGTCTGTTTCATCACAGGGACTTGACAGCGCAATTGGATTATAATTTGAAGAGAAAAAAATATATAATGACATTCCGAAAATAACTCTGGTAATATATTTTATTATAAATCTTTATTACTAACGCCACCTGGTTGAATTAATAATATCCTAGGACACCTTCAGTGAGTCACAAGAGTTATTGTGTTGATGCAGGTTCATGTTTAGCAAGTAGGGTTAATTCTATCTTGAGTATTTTCTGCGTGGGAAGGAAGTGAAACTCTGCCCAGATCGTTGAAATATCTGTTAGCCCCCTCACACAGTCCAGCCGAGTTAAACCCACAATATTGTATGCCTTGAATATTGCACGTTATTGCAGAGGTTTTACCCACCCCCCCCCCCTCCCATCTTAAAGGCCGGTCCATTGCAACATTGCAAAAGCACAAAGAGAAGGCACGACTCTGGTGGAGGATAACCTGCGAACGTCATGCGGAGCGACAGGCCATGCAGCTTCCATTGCGCAGCCGACGGAACGAAAATACCTCTCAGCCGATTCAGAACGAGCCCTCTTTTGCCATAGCACCAGGAGCTGGCCATGACCACCAACAACCAACCCATTACTCATTTCTTTGAAACGTTTGCAAACCAATTTATTGCAATATTTTTTAACCATCCCTACAAAAAAAAAAAACCCAAACAGTTGTCTATCTCATTCAGACCAAGAGCTGTTTTCAACGTGGAACGAGTCTCATCCTTTTTATATATTTAATTGAAACTCACTCACGTGACATTTGCTCACACTGCAGCTGAGAGGACATTCTATATGGAAGGAAGCTAAACTGTTTTATTCTACACAGGTAAAGCCTACTGAGCTGCGACCTCCATTTCAGAGGCGACCTGGTCCCACATGGTCGCTCATCGAAGTGGCTGATATCATCACAACACGTGGGAATTTATAGTAGCACCCAAATAATCTAAACGGATGATGTTGTTTCTAAATGTGTAGGCGGGGGAGGGGGGCAAAACCGGAGGGGCCCCGGAGAAAAATCCAAGCGACCACCACGGGGAGAGAGAACACGCGGACTCCAAATATACTACAGGCATCGCCGTCAGGGTCTGGGATCGCGTACCTGGCCAGGGAGATGCAAAGCGGTGGCGGGCACCAATTGATTGCTCGTGAAGTTCTCCCACCAGCAACTTATCAAGAGATTTAGAAGCCATTGGGGAAACATCGATGGGCAGTGCACCCCATGCATCAGGGATTGGTTTGCCAGAGAGGTTTTGCAACAGACCCTCTCCCGACATATCCTTCAAGACGTTAAGATCCCTTTAAAAGCAAATATAAGCAAGGTTGCGTCCTGTGATTGAACATGTGAACAAAAACACGTTTTTAATCTATCAGGCTATGAGCTTTCCAGACCAATATTATAAAGCAGCATTTGTTTAACGCAAAACAAACTCTGGACCAGTTTTTACGCATACTGGGTTTCCTCAGCAGTGTCAGGGTGGTTAAACAAATGTTGGTCTATTGACCACATTGTTATTGGCAAGTGCACTCCATGCAATGGGACCTCATTCAACGCACAAAGCAGCGGGTTGCACCTTTTCACACACTCTGCGAGACGAATGTTCGTCGCATGGCGGCCAAAACAAATATGTTTCCATTCTGTGAGACTGGAATGTAGCCAGATCGGAACCAAATCCATCGCGACGGTCGCTGGGCGAATGAGCTGAGAACATCAACTCTCTGGGCGCCTGAGAACCCAGATTAATCATCGCGGCAATAAACCTGGGTTTGAGCACCGGACTCTGTTGTGGACATTTATAATCACAGTAATTGTCATGCACATTCCATGTTTGACACAGGCCTCCACTAAAAGATTCTCACAGGGTTTTCACTCTGGTTTTAAATCAATCATTTTATTGATTTGTTGCCTTCTGGGGCCTTATAGAGCATAGAGGAATGTGCCATTTGTGAGCACGTATTAGGGCCGACAAAGCATACCACGCACCAGCACACCAAAGATAAAGATCCCCCGTATAGCCTTCACCAGACTGTTGGGGCGAGTGCTGTTAGCGAGCACCTATGAAGGCCGGCACATGAGGGGTAGGGTGGCCAGCACACCACGCCTGGCTGCCTTTGTCTCCCTAGTGGTGATGCTTACTACACACTGCAACAGGTGTTCATTTGAGGCTGAGTCGACCTAGGGGAGGCCCAGCATACCAACAACAACCGCCATTCGCCACTAAGTGGCAGAGACGTCACCACGGCTATTGTGCCAGGCTATATGTACGTTGAGACCACGTGAAGTGTTGACGCCCACTGGCAGGAGGTCACGGGGAAGACCCAGGTGACACGGCTCGACTGACTGAGATGACTGGCCGATGCACCACCTGTGCCCCCTACTGTGTCAACTTGATGTGCTTTATCCACTCGGCACTCCACTCATTGTTGTGAGTGTCGCTCCTCCGCCCTCCGTTGTTGTTGGAGGGTGACTGCCGCCAACTGCCCAGTAGCGTCCTTCACGAGCCTCCTCCACAGAGGCTGATATTGACACCACTGGCACCGGTCATCGGCAAGTCCACTCAGCTCCACATCCTCTTGTATCACCCCATCTCTACTCTAGCCCGTGCCGCGCCCGTTTAGTCCCCTCGATCCGGCCGAACAAAAGCTGTTTAGGCATGCGGTGGCTGGGCATGCGGGCTACATGACCCAGCCAACGCAGCCTTGCCTGCCGGAGGAGCTCACCGGTGGAACTTTGTCCAGATCATTCAAGGATATGCGAGCTCCTCACACAATCCAGCCAGATTAAATCCAGGATGGATCGCTGGCAGGCCTGGCTAAATGTTTCTAACCGGCGAAGATGTTCCATTAGGGGGGGTCCACGTTTCGCAAAAGTAAAGAAGGGAGGGAATGAGTGTGGACGAGTAGACCTGAAGCTTCGTGTGGAGCAACCGATAAAAAGATCATGCTGCTCGACTGATTCGGAGTTAGACCTCTGCTGTCAAACCGGAGGCGGTCATACCACATACGCTCACACAGATTATATACATGCGTGTGCATGGGGCGGTGACATCACCGAGACGTCGTGCGTGTGCTGCTTGATGCCCAGGTTCGTGGTTCAAACTATGTGCCCCTCCCTGGTTAATACTGCGGATGTAATGAGCATAAATTCCACCGCGTCGTCTGCTTCAGCAGAGTGTCAAAGATCCTGTGACGTTATTCGAAAAAGAGCAGGCCAAATTTGTGAACAGAAAATAAACGAGTGCAAATTATTTCGTTAGAAAACGAAGAGCATCATCATCCCCCTACTGTCAACACAACGTCCCACGTTCAGGCCGACGGTGCGCTCACCCTGTACCCACACATGGACAGCTGTCACCAGGGGGTCCCCGGAGGGGAAAAAAAACCTGCGGTTTGAGACGTCCATCACGTTACGTTTTTGCGCGCTCGTTCACGAACACGATAGCTCGTCATCCGAGTGCATCGCTCACCCGGTCCCCGGGAAGGCCGATGGGTCCTCTGTCTCCCTTCTGCCCATTTATTCCACTCTCTCCGGGGTCTCCGTGCTCCCCCTGTCGTGGAGGGGGGAAGAACACGGACACTCGCTCACTCGGCATCTGGCCGCGGGCATCTTGACGAGCACCTCGACGACGAGTCGACCTGGGAGGACAGCCCGACCGTGACCTCATTTTCACCGCGAAGACATCGGCGGCACGGCTAAGAGCGCGGCGATGAATTATCAATCAAGTCCCGCCGTCTGCCTGCTCAAACGAGGGGCGAGGGGGAAAGGGAGAAGTGGCCGGGTGGCTCAGCGGGAGGGCAGAGTGGCTCACGATCGAAAGGTCGCGAGTTCAGATTCTGGCGGAGGGTTGACTCAGCCCATCGCTCGTTCCTCCGGAGTCGATAAAATGAGCACCAATTTACGGGCAACGTCAAACAGTGGTTGTTCTAGGGAAAGACTCCCCCCGTCCCCCCCCATCATAGCAATATAAAATTTCCACCTCTGCTTCAGGGCTGTAAGGAGGAGTTGAGCACCACATTGTGTGAGCATAACATCACTTTGACTTGAGAGCACGAATACAATCAGAAATTTTTTGTAAAAAAATGCAAAGAAAAGGCATTTGCTGAAACTTTAACGTGACCGACCTTGTCGCCTTTATCTCCCGCGAGGGTCTTTTCAACCTCAATCTGCGGGGGAATAGAAGCAGCAGCAGTGCAAAAAACATCATAAACACTGGACGATGATAAAACAACAACAATAACAACAACAACAACCTATAACGGTAAAGGTGCAGCCCTGAAATTGCTTCCTCATGCTGCTGCTCAATAAGAGGGCATGGGGCTGGCTCTTAAGTACTGGTCAAATGTCGTGGAAGGAGTGGGAGTTCCCACACTTTACCCCACCCCACGTGACCAGCTCAGCTGACCAACTGTGCCGTACCCGATGGGTGAAGAACCGTGGTGGCAGAGGCAATTGAAGATGCTTCGTCTCGACAACCACCACCAGCGTGCTCTGGGAGATCGGACTGAACTGGCGAGCTCTGGATTGCGAGCGCAATGTGCTGACCGTTACACTGCGGCAGTATCCAATGATATATAATTATATAAATACGTAAAACATAACATTCAGACTCTATAAATTCGGTCTATGTAAATGACCAGAATAATGTGCTCCCATATGTTGTGTGGAAATTCATGGCATTCAAGAGGCAGTTGGAGACATATTAAGATGTAAGCTGCAGAAGGGCTTTGAGACCCGATGTAATCCAGATTAAAGCCAAACAATTCGACACATTTACCCATCCATGCTAAGCCAATAACATTACTCATTTCCCCACTGGGAAAAAAATCAGCATGTCCATGTTGAATCGTGGCCCGAATGCATGCATCACAGAGAGGATCCCGGGTCTACTCTGCGTGGCTGTGAAACGAAATTTACTTGGCAAATTATGCGTGTGGCATATTCCGTCGAAGCTGGCCAGGATGCCGTGTTGAGTTGGGCTTGACTCACAATTGTGAGATTGTGAGATCAACTCTTGGCTGGAGATCAAATCATCATCTCCATCATCATGAGTAGCAGCATTATCATTATTATTAGGAACAGCAGCAGCAATATCAGCAGCAGCATTATCATTATCTTGAGCAGCAGCATTATCAGCAGCAGCATTATCATCATCATGAGTATTATTAGGAGCAGCAGCAGCAATGTCAACAGCAGCATTATCATCATCATGAGTTTTATTAGGAGCAGCAGCAGCAATATCAGCAGCAGCATTATCATTATCTTGAGCAGCAGCAGCATCATCATGAGTATTATTAGGAGCAGCAACAGCAATATCAGCAGCAGCATTATCATTATCGTGAGCAGCAGCATTATCAGCAGCAGCATTGGCAGCAGCAGAAAGAGCAGCAGCATCATGTCGTAGGTTTGGCGGAGAATTCCTAGCAGCTCCATAACGAGCACACAAGAGGCGTACATCACTGATGACTGCCCCGATACACCAACGTGTTCTGGTGCAACAAGCGGACTTCACTGCATTGCCGTGGAATGGCTTCAACAATTGAAGCCTATATCTTATTTTTTCAACCGCCACACTAAAGAGGAGACGTGTGTACACATTGAAGCCCTTTTGTCTATCCACCGCTGCGATGAAGGCCTCGCTACGTCATGTCGATCATGAGCAGGGATCGTTTGACCTAATTTCGCCGCTCTAAGAGTGTCCAAACCGTGCACGCGCGCGAATAAAATTAAAATCCAATTCTTACACCGGCCCCGATTACACAGCTTGACGGTTTCCATACTGCTCCCGCTTCCAGACATTGCGCAGACACGGCGCCTAACGACGACGACGACGATAACGACGAGACCACCGCATCCCCGTGTCTTGACTGTTCGTATAACCATCCGTCCTCCCACGCTATCAACCCCCGCAGCAGTGGACAGAGCAAAACAAATTGTACACAGCAGCACATTGCCCCACACCTCCCCCGCCACGATCTTTAACCGTCCTCCCGTCCGCTCTGCTTCGCCAGGCAGGAAGTGGCAAAGCGAAGGAGATTTTTTGCCGGCGCTCCGGGGGGGGGGAGGGGGGGGAGGATCGCATCGAACTTACAACTTTCCCAGGAGGACCCGGCACGCCTTGCTCGCCCTGGAAATAAATGAACGTGAGATCAGTAACGAGCGGGGCGCGGTTTGTTGATGAATGAGCCATGAATGGACTGTTACGGGGCAAAGCCACCGATGAATGCTTATTGACGATTGTTCCCGTTCTACCCGGGGCCATGGGATGAACAGAAATTGGCATTTGTGAGAAGCGGATTTCAGGAGTAATTGATGTCTTGATGAGAAGGCAATTGTTGCGAATTTTTAGTTTTTTATTTAATTGCCACTAGATTTCTACTGATTAGATTTTTTTCAGCATAGAAAGTCCAGTTTATTTCAAAGGACTGTGTAAGCTCACAAGCTCTTACGGTGGGATTCATCGATAAAAACACCATTTCCATGACAGACGTAACACATCAGAGACAAATTAACATAATACCACAAATGGATGCATACAAAGAAAAGTTTAGAAATCATATACTTTCCAATATAACATTTATCTTTTAAAAGTTTTAGCCAATTAAGGAATCAGAGAAAGTGCAATATTAGGCACAACGAGTGGCAGTGGTAAAACACACCATTTCCCAAGAAACACATTTAAATCTCCAATAATAAAAAATCTAATATATATGCGCTATCAATCAACAGCGTCATTGCAGCCAGCAGTCTCGCAACGTCGCTTCAGAGAAGGGCCCCCAGAAGAAGACATCACGGAAGCACTTCTGAAGTCACTTCAAAAGGCTTCTTTATACAAACTAGAGAAACATCTTTGATAAGCTCTGCAAACAGTGGTCGTTGCATGTCAATGAGAGCCATTTTTTTAGTATTCTCACAGCTGGAATGAGCTGTAAAAAGATGAAAAAAAAAACTATTTTAACGTGAGTTTTGCATGTATGTTGAACTTCTTTCGCACCATACGTAGCCAACCGTGCTAATCGGAGGTGCGCGGGAAGCACAACAAATTAAACACAAAAAGCAGTTGCAAAGAAATGAGTTTTGAATCTATATTTAAATGTGCATAGCTCCAGTGGCTTCCTAATATATATCGGAGGGAAGGGGGTTCCAGATGGCCGCTGTGCAATGTGCAGCCATTGGCGATGAGGCTGGGTGCCATCGACTCGCCACACTTGGGAATTCGATTTAATCACAGATGGCTCGAGCCCAGCTTTGAACCCAGCTTCTCCTGCATCGCAGGCTATGTCTTTAGCACAGCCCCTACAAGCCCACAATTAGCCACCCGTTGACAAGAGGTTCCCACAGACACCGTGCAAGGCAGGAGATGAGGGGAAACCATCATGTGATTTTAAGGTGCGCCATTCAAATTGATGGCATCAGAAATCAGAATATGTATTCATACTGGAGGACATGGCAGTCGAGCGGCAGCACGTTTTGCCGTTGATTGCAGAGGTTCGTGGTTCGACTTCAGCGGCTGCCCTAATTAATACTGTGGGCATAGTCTGCTTCAGGGTGGACATTAAAACTCCCGTGATGTTATTCAGAAAGAGAGTAAGAGGCTGCCACGTGTGCCAGCATCATGGGACAAATCTGATCATGTACTGGCAAATGTCTAAATTGGGAATAACCACGCAGCAACATCAACCACTGCCTACTGTCAGACTAATGCCCACATTGTGCTGCACAAGGACAGCTGCCACTGGGGGCTCCCTCTGGCTAAACTGCTAGGGCAATGGAATGGTTGAGATGAGATGCAGTGTAAGGTGCCTTGTTCTGCTATGGCATTTAAAGAATCTCCCCTACACATGCAAGTCCGTATCCCAAACAGCACGTGACTTACCATGTCCCCTTTACTGCCCTTAGATCCGTTTACTCCTGAAGTTCCCTGTGAAACAAAGAGAACAAGAGTCATATTATTCAAGAACATATATATTCCACCATTGGAATATCCTTTGCCAGTAGCAAAATATGATAATTGATTTTTTACCCTTTTATCTGGCAACAAAACTGACACCTTTTTTACAAGGAGTCATGTTTGCATTGAGCACAATACCAGTGCGCCTTTTGGCGTCATCTGGTCCAACACCATGTGAGACTGGGCTCTAAGAAAAGCTGTCTCGGGTGTGGACCAATCAATTTCAAGGACAGTGCATACATCATCAGAGTTGTGTTTTTTGTTTGCATTCCGACCGCGGGTATTGTAGTCAATGCAAACATGACTCCTTGTAAAAAGGTGTTAGTTTTGTTGCCAGATAAAAGGGTCAAAAACAATTATTAACATATATATTGTTAAAGGCTCTGCTCATGAATAGACACGTGATGAGTAAGAACTCGTAAAATGTTTTATCCATACGGCCAGGATAGATGTGCGTGACATTGTGTAAGAAAGGATGATCACTAACAATGTACACCCAGAGTTTGCTCACTCAATGAACATGCTACCTCGAGGCTAACGAACCAAACGAGACAGAATAACACAGGGCAGCAAAGCACAGCACACACGAGTACAAATAGGGCAGACAATGCACGAGGCATTGCAAATGGCACAGCGTACGCGGGGAGTACAAATGAGATGGAACCAATGAGGCAGTGACAAACTAAAGGGTTACCAGCAAAGCCTCTATGAACAAGGCAGACGGCACAGATGCAATATTGAACAAACCAAATGAGTCTTAACAAATCAGACAGATTAGGCGGACTGAGCGTAAGTGTACAAACAAGAGGGTGGGAAGAAAAAAAAGCGACGAATCAATTCTTGAATGAAATTCAGAGCCGGTTTTCATCACAATTAACTGAATCGCAGCGGAGGGGAGGGGGGGCTAATCGTTACACGTCAAGACAAATTCATGAGTCTCACTGCTCAATTGGGGCAGAGGGGGAGGGGGTGCCATGATTGAAGCACTCCAACTCGCACTCGGAAGAAAGTTGTAAAAGTTCAAATCTTTGTTGCAGGGTCCTTTTTTAAAAAAAATTAACAATGCCCCCCCCCCCACCCATTACAGTAATGTGGAATTTCCACCTGCTGTTCCAGGGGCAGCCAATTGAGACCGGCACCGCCAAATGCCCATGTAGAGAGAAAACTTTGACTCGACAATATAATTTCTCCTATGGATGAACTGGGCCCCTACCATGGGAATGTGGAATTTTGACCACTGCAGCACAGTGTTGGGCACAATCTGCAGGACGCCCTTCTGAGCAGCAAGACTCTTCAAGTTGACTTATTTCGCTTTTAAATCGCTTTCGCGTGTTCACAGGGCAAGGGGAGGAACTTTTTATTGTTATCCAATCCATCATCGGCGCCGTGAATACCGATGTGACATTTTAATTGTAAAAAGAAAATTAAGCGCGAAAAGAATTAATGCTGATTGATGGTTTACATTGTTTTCTTCCGAATTTTTTTACGGTGTCATTTAACTGGCGGCCAACTCAATATGCAAATGCGAACGGTACGAAGCCCGTCGAGTCGACTTGCTTCCCCTTGCGTCATTAATAAACGCCACCTGCCCTTGTCGTCCGCGGGTATCCGTGGAGCTAATTCGACACCGAACAAACCGTTTAATGTGAGGCTATAACGTCGCACGGGAGAACGTGGAAAGTGGCCGCTCCACAGATAAACCTCCAAGGGGCATCTAATCCACACGAGGAAGCTGCTCGCATAGAAGCCTTATTTAGAAACGTGCGCTCAGAGTATTTGGCTGCTGCTATGAATGTCCACGTGATAAGCCATTTCTCTGTTCAGCTGTCATTTGTGGCCAGGTCGCTTCTGAAAAGGAGCTGTACGGGTGAGTGGGCCTTATCTGGTAAAATAAAAATGTAGCTTTCGTTTTGAGGCTCATGGGATAATGTTTAAAAGTAAAACACAAACCTAATAAAACACACCGTTTACTATTGTTATAATAGTATTATGATAATGCTCATTTAGCCGAGAAAGCCTCAACGAGTCTCATGACTTTTTTTTCAAGAGGACCCCGGCTAATTGTTCGCAGTAGGTGGGCAGGCAAGGCGAGTGGAGGCGATGGTTAAAACAAAACTAACCGTTATTATCTTGGACACTCTTAAGAGTGCGTGCTCTTGGCTGTCTTACTCGGGGGGGGGGGGGGGGGGGTTTGACGCTTCGGGAGTGAGAAAGGAGCGAAAGCAAAAAGAAAGCCGATGGACTAACGGGTAAGCGTGTTGGCCACTCGCTGCAGAGGTTCGCGGTTCATCTCCAGCGGCCGCCCTGGTTAACACTGCGGCGGTGTAACTGACCGTAATGCGCGCCGCACGCTTCACAGTAGACGTTAAAGATTCCGCGACGTTATTCGTGGGATTGGGCCACGGTGCGCTGGCATCGCGGTCCGAAAGTTGGCAAAAAACACGTTAAGAAAAGTTTGCCCCGCAAATGATTCAATCTGCCCAGGGATGAGAATGAACAGAGGCGGCGGGTGGAGCCAGGGAAGAGTTGAGACGACAAAAAAATAATTCCCATCGCTTTTTTTCGCGAGTTGTTCAAGACAATGCCACGCGGCGCGAGCGCGGCTCTCGGCGCGTCGGCCTCGTGGACGGGGAACTCACGTCACTCCCCGCCAGACCCGGGTCTCCCTTGTCTCCCTTGTCCCCGATGCGTCCGTTGACGCCGGCTGGCCCCTGCGTCCAGCCGCAGACGGATTTCAAACCGGACGAGTCATCGAGGGTTGACAAGATGGTGAAAAAGCCGGTTGTCATCACAGTACAGCCAGCCAGTCATAGCCAACACAGACAGAATGGTATGTGCGATCATCCGCCTGCCCAGAGGTTCGATCAATTGTCACTAATTTCAGGGTCGTTTTTAAGATTCAAAAATCTGTATTTTTGTACAAATTTTACCATCCCGTCTGCACAGTTTTGCCCGCTCTATTAACCTCAATGAAGCCTCAGCAGTTTAAATTAGAAATAATCGATTCTCACGAACGGACAATTCCATATGCGCCTCACTCGTGCATGGGGGTGGAAACGAGGATCTCGGTGGCAGGGACTTACTGCTCCAATTCGCCGAATAAAGGGGGCCCACCCCCCTACCACGAGCGGGCAACCGACGTCACGTTTCACGTCACGCAAGACTGACCAAAACACCAGGCTACCGCCGACGCATGCTGCCATGGAAGGGCTGCCAAGGTTCACGGTACAAGCCGCGCCTTTGTGTTGTCGTTTGTTGTCGACCGTTCCCCCCCCCCCCTTCCATTGATCGATCGCGATTGGGTCCGTACCCCTCGTTGTTTTTTTTGTCATTGTTGTGCATTGTTACGGCCTTGAGTCCTTGCATTTAACAAAAATCTAATAATTTTTTTATCAATTTGTATACGTAAGAAATTTCTGATTGTTGCTGGCCACTCGGTGTTTGTGTGCCTCGGCTCGGCAACGTTGATAAAATAGGACGCCCGACCATCGTCCACATCGACCTGCGCAGGTGGACCTGGCGCGTTTTTTAAATATTATTTTACTGGCTACATTCGCAAGTTTAAAATACCGAATCAACCGCGTTAAAGTTTGACGACCATGAACACTATTAGGGCTGAATAAAACGCGGTGGGTTATACGTTTAAGAGTTATGAAGCTCCCCCCCTCACCTTTTTTTTTCATGATGGGCCACTAAAATTTGAAAAGCAACGTGGGTTTGCGAGTTATTATTCGACGCATAATTGATTTGGCAGAAATTCAAGGCCATGAAAGGGAATTTCATTTCAAAGGGAGCATCAAGGCTTGTTTCATATTCATTGCGTTTCAGTGGAACCTCACTGATTAAGCCGGCAGCAGCTAATTAGCGAGTGCCTGAGCAATTTGATCTGCATGGGTGGTACTGCGGTTAAAGGGTGCACGACTCACGATATGAAGGTCGCGGGTTCACATCCAGGTCGGGGTTCGACTTAGTTAATCATTAGCATCATCGTCGTCCTTTTGTGATACATAACACGAGCACCGCTTTGTTTAAAGTGTCGTGGTTAGCGCACCAAACTTGCGATCCAGAAAATAGCTCGTTTAAAACTCCCGGCCATTCGAGCAATGGGACACGTTTCTTAAATCCCTCCACTCCTGTCCACTCAGCAGAGTAAATGGGTACTGCCACAGCCAGTGAACTGGTAGTTCACGTGTGGTGTGCGAGAGAGCCATATATCTCTTGTTCAGAAGCAACCTGGCCACAAATGATAGCGCAACGAAGTGGCTTATCATCACGTGGAAATTTATAGCGACAAACCAAATACTCTCAACGCACATCCATTCTAAACTTGGAGGGAGGAAACCAGAGGACCAGAAAAATAATCAATGCGACCACGTGGAGAACATGCCAACTCAAAATATACAGGTGTCAGGGACGAGATCAAACCCACGACCTCCTGCATACCAATCAAGTAAGTTAACATCTCGCCACCACGGCACCCCTGCCACCTGCAACATCAAAGTAGGTAATCTTATGTCAAATGGTTTCATCCTCCCGATTGATTAACTGGCTTCTGCTATGGGAACGAGGAATTTCCGCAACTCGTATCGGGGGCTGCCAATGGAGATGAAGCGGCCGCCCCACGGATCGTTTGAGCGGGGCGGCGCAGTTAAGATTCTAAGATTTGTGACTCGTGGTGATGCTGGCGATGGCGACGACGCATCCCGAGTGCTTTGCTCCAGGTACCCGAAATCCACGGATTCCTGTTGCGCCAGGCTGTCCAGTGTCACCCTGTGGGGAAGGGGGGGGGGAGCAATAAAATTAATTGAAACAAATTATGAAAACATGAAACATGTGGCAGGTTTACATGAGAACGTCAAAACTATTCAGAAAAAGCAAGCGGCTTGGGTAGGACACGTCATGTATGTGTAATCACAGGGTGCCACCTGTCGACCTGGAAGGGTAATCACAGGTTTGGGCAAGGTTACATAACAACTAATCAGAAGGGGGGCGTATCTGGGTTAAAGGTAAAAGGTGGGGTTAGTCGGGAAGCTCTGGGAACCTGCTGGAAGGTTCTGGAAGGGGGCATGGCCAGAGGCGGTGCCTGGCCACGCCGAGACGTAAATAAGGGGGATGGAACCGCAGGTTCAGGGTTGTTGTGGGGTCCCGGGTCCTGGCTGTGTCGCTGCTTGCTGCTCATCTCTCTCCATCGTCTCTCTTCATCATCTCTCTCCATCATCTCTCGCCGTTCATCTCTCTCCATCATCTTTCTCCATTGTCTCTCTTCATCATCTCTCTCCATCATCTCTCTCCATCATCTCTCCATCATCTCTCTCCATCATCTCTCTCCATCATCTCTCATCATCTCTCTCCATCATCTCTCTCCATCATCTCTCTCCATCATCTCTCTCCATCATCTCTCTCCATCATCTCTCTCCATCATCTCTCTCCGGCGTCTCTCGCTGTCGTCCGTCCGCAAGGAAGATCCTCTGCACGGCTCCCATCGCCGTCATCGTCACACCAGTCAGCCAGCCGTGTGGTTGGATGGGACTATGTAGAGAGGTCGGCTGTGCGTAACTAAAGTAGAGACTATATATATATATTACCCAGTGTTTTGCCCAGCGAGAGGAGACGTGTATATATAAAAGACACCTGGGAGCCAGAAATAATTTCCCTCATTAAAATGCAAATCAATTTATAACATTTTTGACATGCGTTTTTCTGGATTTTGTTGTTGTTATTCTGTCTCTCACTGTTCAAATAAACCTACCATTAAAATTATAGACTGATCATTTCTTTGTCAGTGGGCAAACGTACAAAATCAACAGGGGATCAAATACTTTTTTCGCTCACTGTATATCTAGATGTATCGGCCTGTGTTGTGCCCAGTGTGAGAATAAGAAACTCTCGAGACGACGTGTTTTGGAAGTGGCTCACGACATATGTATGAATGCTGAACTTCCTTGGTGCCATACGTAGGCAACCGTGCTAATCGGAGGCGTGGGGGAAGGACAACTAATGAGACACAAAAAGCAGCTCTAAAGAAATTAGTTTGTCAATCTAAATTATTTTAAAGTGCATAGCCCCAGCGGCTTCCTAATATCGGAAGAGCATTCCAGACGGCCACAGAGGCGCATTTTGAAGTGCGCGTAACGAGATAGGATGATGGCCTCCTGTCAGGAATGCCAAGGAATGGAACGCCTCGGAGAGGGCTTCCATAAAGGAGATGGAGCGATGAAATCGGCTCGAGTGTGCAGGCTTAAGTTTGCATGTTGCATCGCAGGATCATGAGACGTGGCCGGTGCTTGGGAAGGCCTTTATCCAGCAGTGCATTGACCATGGCTGCTGATGCTGATGCTGAAGATGATGACACAATAATAAACACATCTCACCTTGGGTCCAAGCGCTCCTGCTTCTCCCTTTTCGCCCTGCAAGGAAAATCAAATCAGGCACGTTCATTATTCCCGTGGAGAAAAAACACAAAAAACAAAGACACCATATAGCCTTACCATCAGACTACTGGGGCAAGATAAAATACAAAGACAAAGATCCCCCGTATAACCTTAACAGACTGGAGGGGAAAGTGCTGCGAGCGAGCACCTATGAAGGCCAAAACGGAACACTAGAGGGTGGGTGGCCAACACCACGCCCAGCCACCTTTGTCTCCCCAGTGGTGATGTTTACACACCGCACCAGGTACTCATTTGAGTCCGAGTCGACCTAAGGGAGGCCCAGGACCGGTTCAGATAATCTTCACTGATGGTGCTGGCCATGAGCTGGAATCGAACTCGGGTCGCCGGGTTCATAGCGCAGCGCGCTAACCGCTACACCACCGCTCCCCATACTGGGGCAAGAACACACACACATCTACCATCAGGCGTCGACGCATCACACCAGGACAACTTTGACCATCACCAAGTCCTAACCCACAGCGATGGGAGACAACACATGTGGGCGCAAAGGGAAGGGGAGGGAAAAGTGGCGGCGCAGTGATTAGCGCACTGAGCTCCAACGAACCCGGCGACCCGAATTAGATTCCCGCTTCCTGCCACCGGGCAATAGGGCCACCCGCAGGAATAGAAATGAAAATAGCAGCGCCGTGACTGTGTTCGAGCGGCACGTTAAGACTTTCCTTAATATAATAACCGCGCCGACGGAATGTATCAAACTCTGCGAGCGCGAGGCTGCTGCCTCGCCTGTTGTCATGCGGCTGTTTTTTTCCGCCGCCATGTGGAAATATAAATCAAAGTCTCGGGGTCGGATAGCCGAAGCTGAAAAGTTTTTTTTTTAATGAGACACAAACGACAGTCCCATCACAATCCTAAGCAAGCACAGCTGACATTTATATATCGATCACGTTGCCCGGACAGCTCGCTGATTTCTTGTTTCTTTTCGACCTTGCTATACTGGGTGTTTGTGTGTGTATATATATTTATGTTTAAATATTTTACAAGTCGGGTTGGTTGCCCAGTGATTAGGGCACACACAGATCACAGTAGGATAGTTGGCAATTATACATTTGTATTTACATTACATCCAGCCACGTGGTCCAGCGGTCGAGCGAGCGGCTCGCAATCGGAATTCACTCAGCTCAACATCCCTCCGGTGTCGATAAAACGGGCGCCACTTCGTGGGGAAATTCAACCGCGGTGGCCCTTTGGGAAGACTTGCTCCCGCCACGGGAATGCAGAATTTCTGGCACTGGCTCAGCGCGGGGGCTGTATAATCAGGAGATGAGCAACTTCTTGATGCTCATTCGAGCAGGAAGCCACTCACGACTTTTTGTTGACTTTGACTATTTGTATGGACGTGGCGTCAGCATGCGAACGCATCTCAAGAAGGTGGACAAACCAGTGGAAGCGCGTCGCGTGGAACAAGGAGGCCGATAAATCGTTTTTGCAGTTTTTGTTACAAAATTTTAAATGCACTGCCTGTGCTCACTCCACCCTGGCTGGGGCCTGCGACTGACTGCAGGCTGGGGCGCCGTGGCAGAGGGATGTTCACTACCTCACCCGGTGTACAGGAGGTAGTGGGTTCAATCCCCACCCTGATGCTGCTGTATATTTGGAATTTGCATGCTCTCCCCGTTGTTGCGTGGATGTTTCTCCGGGTCCTCCAGTTTTTCCCTCCACATTTATAATCAACATGCGTTTAGAATATTTGGCTGGTGCAAATGTCCACACAATAAGCCACTTCGTTGAGCTATCACGTGTGGACAGGTCGCTTCTGTTAAAAGCCATTTAGCTCAGTGGGCCTTACCCGGTAAAATAAAAAGTTTAGTTTAATAGTTTTCATTGATTGATTGCTGGATGAAAGCCTTCCCCAAATCCACTGCTGATGTTAGCCGTGGCCATGAGTTAATCTCAGATCACCGGGATCGCACCGCGGTCTCGGGATAATCTTCTTGGGCCGACTCGCGCTGCGGGCGAGTTTATTATTTGGCACAGATTTGCGTTTGCGCAGTGTTTTTGGAATTCGCAGCTGTTTTTGTGCCGATTTACCTTTGCTTTGTGGACGCACGTTATTCTGTTTGCTGCTGCTGCTGCTATTTTGGCGACCCATTGACAAAGGAAATGAGAATCAGAATATTCATTTATACTGGAGTAATCCGATGAGATGCAAAGCTCTTTTTTTCTCACAGATTCCCAGTAGAAATGGGGGACAGAAGATCCGACGAGCGTGCGTGCTGCCACCGAGAGACGCGTGCTTGGGAATTACGTGGAGAGGGATGGAGAGAGGGCACGCGGCGGATTGGAGAACATCAACAAAGTCGGAGACACCACGGGAGGAGGCGGCCGCTGGAAGGGGATGATGGCTAACGGTTTTGAGATTCGGCGTAGAGTGGCAGCCGAAGGAGGCATATCACTCTGCTGGAGGATGTGCCCAGGCGGGACGGAGCGATGACGATGAGAGATGGCGATGGTGGCGATGTGTTGACGACCTTGAAACGTGATCCTGCTGCACCACCGCTGCTGTAGATTCCACTGGTTCTTCATGTTCTGCAGATGTAGATGCCACTAATTCTTCATGTTCTACAGATGTAGATGGCACTGGTTCTTCATGTTTTGCAGATGTAGATACCACTGGTTCTTCATGTTCTACAGATGTAGATGCTAATTCCCTTTTGTGTTTGCGTTTCCTCTCTACCATCTCTAAAAACTTACCAAGAGGTGTCTGCACAGTCACTCTCTTCTTCTCTTCATAAATCAACTTGTAACAGGCAATAGCATCGTGAACAGCTGCCAACACCTTCGTAACCCTTGCAGTGTTTGGGTCCTGCAGTGCTTGCCACCGAACGGCCACCGCCATCTATTGCACGGCTGTTGAACTTACAACTCTCGGTCCGAACAGGCGACTGGACATATGGACAGGTTTAATTTTTTATTTAAAGCTTTCGTGACTGCAGGGATTCATATTCTTGGTTCTTTCGGTAAAGTCACGTAGAAGGGAAATAATAAAATAATATAAATATAAAACAATAACAATTCTCACGACGTTTCGACTGCAACACAAGCAATCATCATCAGGTGTGAAATCCACAGCAAGAAAATGTGAAAAAAGTGGCGGTTTTTCTTAACGTCAGGACCACAGACAGCGATTTGGCAGTTGGCCAGATGGACGAGTCCATCTGTGTTCGGAAAAGAGGAGGGGGGACTTGTCCATCTGGCCAACTGCCAAATCGCTGTCTGTGGTGCTGACGTTAGGACAAACCGCCACTTTTTCAAATTTTCTTGCTGTGGATTTCACACCTGATGACGATTGCTTATGTTGCAGTCGAAATGTCGTGAGACTTTTTATTGTTAAATATATATATTATTTTATTATTTCCCTTCTACGTGACTTTACCGAAAGAACCAAGAATATGGACAGATTTGTTCGTATCTCTGAAAGTTCGCAAAGTTGAATATTCGTAAGTAGAGGAGTCCCTGTCATGTGGAATTTCCATTATTTGTCTCAGCACTGAGTGCCACATCACGGCTTGTTTAAACAGGAAACCGGTTTGATGTCTTGAAAAATATCAATATATATCCTTGTCAATGTGTTGCCAACGCCACTTCTACAATGAAATCATTTGCATCGACTCTCAAACAAGACCAGTGCCAATTAGTGCGCAGACAAACAATCAATACATGACAATCAATCGGTCCATGAATGCGATCGAACCGGGTCGGGAGCCCATTGAGATTCCTGATCTCATCTGTGAAGACAGTGTTTGGTGACTTGTGAAAGTGGAGAAGAATTTGAAATGCAACCAGTGAAGCCACGCAAAGAATCCGTGATCGATTCCCAACCACGGCTAACATCGGTAGCCTGTGATATCAGACACGGCCCCCCCCCACACCCCTCTCTGTCTTCGCCACCGCACACTGACCAGTGTGGTGAAGTATGATCAGAATTCCCTCCATGGCCGACACGGAGTGGGTGATACCTTCATTCACTGGTGGATTGAAAATGTCTAAGAATTCATCATTGTTATTATTACTTTTATATTTAATATTTTTTAAAGGGAACACTGAATTCCCATTGTGTAATAGGCATGAATTTATAATGAGCCAAGAATGTCTGATTGTGTAATGCGCGTGACGTCACACCACATTCCCCCCCATCATTAATATTCATGAGCGGGTGGATTTTTACACTCACGCAGAAGGTCGAGCGGAAATATTTTTTTCGCAAATTCGCTTTTAGTTTAATCTTTTTTTATTGAAAGGGAATCTAATAAATAATTATCCGCAGCAACAAAGTGGATTTGGTGTCATTATTTATTTCTTCAGCACTTGAGACAAAAGGTAAGTCTAATTTATGCTTCTACATTATAGTAAAATAGACATTTCTCGGTGACTTTCCAGATATTGTATCGAGTTCCAATTCATTTCAACCCCAGCGACCGAAAGCAGAAGAGAATAAAGTAGCAGAGCAGTGAATTTGAACAAATTGAAGGTCAGTTATATACAGTGCTACAGTGTCATGAAGTGAGGTTTCTATGACTTCGTTTTGTGCAAGATTCACTGCCATCAAATTTACACAAGATACAATTATACTCTGCTCAATTTTTCGTAAATATTACAGCTTCCGTCCTTTGACGGGCAAACAAGCTCGTAATTTTATAAGAAAAATAAACTTCTATTGGAAACTGCTGCCAACAGCAGTGCCGCTTACCCGTGTCAGTTCAATGGGCCTCTTCTACACAACCCGGTAGGGCACGCTAATATTGCATGCCCTGTAAATGGTGTTTGCCACATAGCAACAGAGCTGACATGTTTAGTCCTTTTAAATGTATTTATATAAAAAAGTGCCTCAGTGTACCAAGGCAATTTGAGGAGAGGTGTGCAGTGGTCACATCAAGAAGCGTCTGATTGGAGTTCTTACGTTCTCTACTTCCTCCCGTAACTTAAACCATGTCATTGGTGCTAACCACGTATTGCAGAGGAGGCCTGTCCTGCACAAACAACTATAATGTTCATAATATAATTATTTTTGGGTTAATATATAAAAAAACCCTTAGATTATGGATGATAAATTAACTAAAATGTTATATTATTTATTGGATGTTTAGATAAATGGAAACTCCACGTGCCAGGAACTCTGGAACACATCTACGATGAGATAACGATAAATGTTTAGAGGCAGGCCACGTGAAGATTTTTTTAAAAGCCACGTGGAAAATCTATCGCGCATCTATTATATGACAAGGCAGATCGCGCTGCCTTGGATTCTTTGCCTTCAGACATAATGCCAATAGCACAAACAGAAGAAATTGAGGAACAAAGGACCATCGATTCTTTTTTCGTTTAACTACGTTTCCGTACACACCGCCATCCTGCTTGCCGGACTGCCACGCAGCCCTGTATTTTGGGGCATCCCAGCGCATGGTAACTTCTTCGCAACCAAATCACCGCATGGCCGACAGCGCTGTGCGGTGGGTATGAGTCGTGACACGTGAAGAGTCTTCTTGCCAATGACGTCTGGTAATAACGGCACCATTTGTCGAAATCGGTCCAAGCTAGCCTTGCTTACGCAAATGCGGTGTGATAACACTGGCCTGGAAAAGCCACTAGGCTGACGGACTAAAAAATAACCTTGATTCACATACGGAGGCACAGAATGGAGTTTTTGCTCGAATGAGCTTTGACCCATGATGAGAATGGCTGCTAATGGAGGCGCCAGAGTGTTGGGTTGACCGCGGTCTTGCTCGCAAGGGGATCGGGGTTATGGACAAGGGCTCGGATGCGGTTTCTTACCTCTTTGCCCCGCATGCCAATTTGCCCCGGATTTCCCAGTCGCCCGGTCTCGCCTTTGTCTCCCTTCGCCCCAGGATCTCCCTGGGGGGGAAAGGGCGGCAGGGGGAGCAGGGCGGGCGCATTCGATGTTCAGAGTCAAAGGCAGCTTCGCAGAGGCACTGTCACGGTCCTCGACAGACAAGATCTCTGGCTTGTGATGTTGGCAGACGGAGACGGGGAACACATCGGGGGATGAAACAAGGCAGACACAGAAGTGCGCAGTTACGAATAAACAAGACACATGCGGTGAATCGATTTAGAATGATTCAGCCATGATCAATCCACTGCTGGATGAAGGCTTCCCTCACAGACGTTGCCATCTACTAAAATATTAAACTTTTGTTATTTTACCAGGTAAGGCCCACTGAGCTATGTAGCTCTGTTTCAGCAGCGACCTGGCCACAGATGATAGCTCAACAAAGTGGCTCATCATCACGTGGAACTATAGCGGCAGCCAAATACTCTAAACTCACGATTCTAAACGTGGAGGGAAAAACCGGAGAAAAATCCACACGAACACGGGGAGGGAGGGACACGCAAATTACACGTGACTTTATAGAAAGACCCAAAGAATATTCCTATGTCAATGTCCATGATTTTTGTTCCATAAGGTCATATCCGGTAGTAAACTTGTTTTAATCAGTGATTAGCACGGTTGGCTACGTACGGTGCGAAATAAGTTCAACATATACACGTATATATAGACACAAACAGAGACAGACCGAAAGCCACAGAGAGATGGGTGTAGTATTCAAAATCTGTATTTATTCACAATTTGTATTTAGCCAGGAGGAATCTGATGAGCTACGTATGAAGTCTCTTTTTCACAGATGTCCAGCAAGATGCAACATTATACACGACCACAGACACACAGACTGGATGTTATCATGATATAGAGAGACAATACACAGATACTTGTTGCGACAAAGACAGATTCTGGTGGACAGGCTTAGCTCAGCTGAAGGTGGGACAGATGTGAACAGACATAGACAGACACCAACAGACTGATGTGAAAGTGGGTAGCGGTGTTGTTGGATGCCAACACACACAGAGACAGATGGGTGCAGTGATAGAGGCATGTCGAGAGACACAGTTGGACAGACATAGAAAAGATGGGTGACATGAAGAGACAGGTGCAGACATAAATAGATCGGAGTCATTATATTTTAGACAGAAGAATTGCATATACACTAGTCACCGGCAAAATACACTGGCAAATAGGGACACATATGTAGATATAGAGACACACACAAAAAAAAACAAGGACACACATCTCCCATACAGCCTACAACGACTGTTTGGGCAGATGCTGTTAGCAACTACACAGACAAAGATCCCCCGTATAGCCTTAACAATGTGTCGGGGCAAGTGCTGTTAGCGAGCAGCTATGAAGGCCAGCACGGCAAACGAGGGGGCGTGTGGCCTGCACCACGCCGGACTGCCTTTGTCTACCCAGTGGCGATGTTTGCACACCGCACCGGGTGCTCGTTTGGGGCTGAGTCGACCTAGTGTGTACTATGCACATCGTGTGCACACACTCACACATCCCACCGTGAGATTCACGGTCGTTCCCCCTTGGGGGGAATTCCCCCGTTCCAAGAATTACTCTGCTCCTGACTTACATCCTGGCCCAGGCAGCATTTAATTACAATCGTTCTGCAAATTTTTAAACAAAACGATCCATCATTGCTCCCTCCGGTTAAGACACTGACAGTAGTGTGTGTGTGTGCTCGCGCGCATGCATGCGTGTTTACCTCTGTGTACGCAGGAGCGTGCGAATGTGTGCACGTGTGTACACGCAGATGTGTGCGTGTGTGTGTGTGCATGCGTTTGCAATCGTCACGTCGTGAAAGTCTGAATTAACAGGTGCTCTCTGATTACATTTGCCTTTACAATCTAGAAAGCTTATTCGGATAAGGGTGTATGTGTCTCTGTGTGTGTGTCTATGTATCATGTGTGTATCATGTGTGGGGAGCGGTAGTGTAGCGGTTAGCACACTGCGCTACGAACTCAGCGAGCCGAGTTCGATTTCCGCTCACGGTCAACACCGGTGGCAATTGTCTGAGCCAGTCCTGGGCCTCCCCTAGGTTGACTCAGTCTTAAATGAGTACTTGGTGCAGTGTACAATCAGTACTGGGAAGACAAAGGCGGCCGGGCTTGGTGTTGGCCACCCACCCCCTCGTGCACTGTGCCAGCCTTCATAGGTGCTACTCACCAACAGCAATTGCCCCTACAGTCTGCCAAGGCTATACGGGGTATCTTTGTCTCTGCGTAAATTGTGTGGAGCGGCAGTGTAGTTGTCGGCGCCACCGTGTGTGGCTTGTAAATGTGTGTCACAGAGTTCATAATCCAAGAGACCTGGAATCAACTCCAGCATCTGGTGGTAAATTGGTGTCTGAACCATGGCCTTAATGGAAATAATACATTTACCATCAGCACATAACTGCCTGACTTTGATGTGTGTTCAAACTCACCGTGAGTCATGGCGAGTGCACTGTTTAAATGTCACTTACCTTGTCACCTGGCCTGCCAGACAGTCCAACGTTACCCTGCAATTAAACAAAACTCTTTAGATCATAACAACAACATAACAGGACCCATGCAAATGCGTGAGACTCGAAATCTCAATCACCTTACATTTTTCTCAGGAAAAATATAGATATAACCTTCATACATTTCACACCTCCCGATTGGAACGGTTGGCTACGTAACGGTGCGAAAGAAATTTCAAAGTAAATTAAATACATACATCCAGTGCCGGATTAAGCTAGTGCTGGGTCTGTAGCATATGTTATAAAGGGACCCTACATTTTTAAAAACACATAAATATTAAAACACAAATGTTTTACTTGCATAGTCAAGTAAATGCATGCTTTCATTCCCTATACAGCCAGATAATACGACAAATTTCTGACTTTAAACACCCAGTCTTTCATAATAGTTAAAGGCGGTATCGTACTATAGTAATAGAGCAAGTGCAGAATCACTGAACCGGAATTGATAGCTTGAAAGCATTTAGCACAGGGCCCTTGAAAGTGCGGGGCCCGTAGCAACATGTGTAGCTACTACACGTGTAGCAGCTACTACTACACGTGTAACTACATGTGTAGCTACTACTACACGTGTAGCAGCTACTACTACTACACGTGTAACTACATATGTAGCTACTTGTGCTGCCAGGATAATCCGGCACTGCATACATCGCAAATGACTGATTCTTGCGAATCATGATTCCAAGCATGTATTGCGAGTTGTAATCATGAGTTTGAACGCATTGGTATACGCCTACGTGATGTTGCAATGAACAATAATTTACTTATAGGTGTGTGTCAATCCACGGGCGGGATGAAGGGCTGCGCACACAATAGTCGTGGTGGTGTTTGGCCATACTTCACCACGCTGGCGAGTTTGATGAAGATGAGGGAGCAGACAGCAGTTCAGACATTGCCTAGCAGCGAAACTTCGTGGGAATCTAACCGAGGTTGCTGGGTTTATAGTGCGGCGTGCTCACCGCCACAGCCGCGTGGCGTGCAATACGTAACGTGAAATAAACAAGAATTTAAGGGACCATTCTCACCCTTTCTCCGTTCTCTCCCTTTGACCCAGGCTGACCAGGGACACCAAGCCCTGTTACGCCCTGGAAATAAATAGAGCATCGGCGTGAGTGGGTGGAGGGATGATTGCCTTCATTCATAATCATTGGCTTCCCAGGAGAGGCGATGGCTCTTAAGCCTGCCTGTTAAAAATGGATTTTACATTTCAATGCATATCAAAATGTTTGGCCCCTGCTGCCGGAATCTTCATCATTATAAATGCAGCGCCATTCTTTGCATCGACTGTGTGGTATCATCATCATCATCATTTTACATTACATCCTCAATTATGTATATATTGGGATAAAATATCAAGCCATCACATTTTGTGATGATTGTTGATTTAAGTAAACCTCAATATTGGATATTGGGTATAGTTAAAACATCAAACTCAACACGTGTCAATAATACTGTGGCCTGAAACATATTTCTACATATATAACAGGTGACGTTTCAGGCAATGGCCCTTCTATTTCGCAATATTTTTGTTTTATTTGCTAATAAGAAGGACCATGACCCGAAACGTCGGCAGTGAATATAATGTTTCCTTTCATGGCCACACACGGTGTTATTGTTGAGGAGCGTGTTGAGTTGTTTGTTGTTTGTGCACCACCGCCAATGCAGCAGCAACACCAAACAATGTACTCAAGTACACGTTTTAAATGTATTAATGTACGTTGAACTTCTTTCACACCGTACGTAGCCAACCGTGCTTATCGGAGGTGCGGCGGTGGGGATGAAAAACTAAACACAAAAAGCGGTTCTAAATCATGGGATATTCAAGTGGAACAACAACATAATTAGTGCCATCATTCCTATCGATGTCATCATCGCAAGTGAGTTACGATGTGACCAATGAAAAGTTTATAGAATATTTTATATAGTATCATCATAACCACGAGAAACATGATCATTATAATTGGCAGTTACAAAATTATCATCATCTTCATCCACAGCAGTATCAGCAGCAGTGGCAATATCAAAATGATCATCGCCATAATCACCAAAGACAAATATCCTCCATATAGCCTGTTGGGGCAAGTGCTGTTCGCGAGCACCTATAAAGGCCGGCATGGCACACGAGGGGGGTGGGTGGCCAGAACTATGCCCATGCCGTCTTTGTCTCCCCAGTGGCGATGTTGACTACACACCGCGCCAGGTACTCATTTGAGGCCGAGTCGATCTAGGGGAGGCCCAGGACCGGTTCAGATAATCGTCACCGGTGTTGGTGGCCATGGGTGGGAATCGGCACCACCACCACCACCAACAGCAAACGCGATAATTACCAACATGACCACATTTTTCATTCGCTTCATCGCCTACAAAATATATATATACACAAAGGCCTGTGAAAGAGCAACACTAGGGCATTAGAGATGTATGTGCAATCGACGCAAATCGTAGACAATAAACAAATAGAAAGAGTTTACTTTGACAACTCCAGCAAGGTTTCAAGACTATAGTCTTGCAAAGCAGACAGATAGAGAAGGGATCTCTTAATTAAAGTGTAATGCAATTGGGATGGCATATAGAATAACACATTAACGTGTTCCAACGAAATTACCTGTTTTAAAAGAGCAGCGTACTTTCGCGTCAACAGACACAATTACGTTAGGAAGCACGCACGGACATCGTACGTGTGTTGCAAATAGGTAGGAATTGTGCAAAAACACGCTGAAACTGAAAATGCCGCTCTTTGAAACATCTATTTTCAAATCAGAGTAATTGCAAGAGATGCATTTTCATGTGTACGTACATAAACGTGCGCACACACACGTGTACGTGTGTGTGCGCCTGCGGTTAGTGTAGCGGTTCGCGCGCTGCGTTACGAACCCGATTCCCACTCACGGCCCGACACCAGTGCCGATTATCTGAACCGGTCCTGGGCCTCCTCCCCTAGGTCGACTCAGCCTCAAACGAGTACTTGGCGCGGTGTGTGAACATCGCCATTAGGGAGACAAGACGGCCGGGCGTGATGCTGGCCACCCACCCCATCCATATGCCGTGCTGGCCTTCGTAGGTGCTCGCGAACAGCACTTGCCCCGATAGCCTGTTAAAGGCTTTACAGAGGATCTTTGCCTTTATCTTTGTATGTATGACTGTGGCGATGTTTGTGTTTTGCTTGCATTTGTGCGTGCGTGTTGATGGTGCAACATAGACCGCCTTTTGTAGAGACAATTAATAATTATTAATTGTCATACGCTGGGAGCGTAAGGGAGTATCGTGTCTGAGCTTCGGATGCAGAAGTTTAAATAAAAAGAGTGTCACCTTTTCTCCCCTCTCTCCCGCTTCACCTTTCTCCCCTTTGGGACCCAGGGGCCCGGGCAAACCAATGTCACCCTACACGCACGCACGATGGCACGCACACACACGCACACGCACGCACACGTGCACATTAACGCATGCACACAACAACAACGGCCACGGTGGCAACCAAAACGCCGATTTAAAGCTTTCGTGACTGCAGGGATTCATCTTCTTGGTTATTTCGGTAAAGTCACGTAGAAGGGAAATAATACAATAATAAAAATAAAACATAATAAAATAATTCTCACGACGTTTCGGCCACAACGTAAGCAGCCGTCCTCAGGTGAAGAACAGGTCTGTCTTTCCGACAGACCTGTTCTTATTATGTTTTATTTTTATTATTTTATTATTTCCCCTCTACGTGACTTTACCGAAAGAACCAAGAAGATGAAACAAAACGCCGATCGCCAACGAGCGCCGGTAACGTCGCCACGGCACTTGAGCCGGGCTGGGCGCGTGCGCACTTTTGTGGCCACGTGAACAAAATTTACCGGCCACAGGTGTCACACGTAAATTGACTGACATGACGTGCATGCGCACTCCCCCCCCCACCCCTCTCATAGCCGTACAGAACGTTAGGGGGGGGGGGCAACGCTGTTAGGCGAGCACCTACGACAGCCGGCAAGGCTCCCGCATACGCACACGCAACGCGCACACGTGCACACACGTGCACACACGCGCACACATGCACAAGTACACACGTGCACACACGCGCACACACGCACACCAGCGAGTGCGCGCCTACACCTCCGCCATAATAGAGTTGGCACAACAGAACCCGGAGCGTCTCTCACCTTCTCCCCTCTGGCACCGGGTAGCCCAGCTATCTGCAGCAAATAAACACAAACCATAATGAGCTCAACACCACATGCATCACTTCAGAGACAACCAAAGACAAGATCCATCCCGTATAGCCTCAACAACAGACTGTTGGGTGGCCAACGCCACACCTTTGTCTTCCCTAGTGCTGCTGCTGATGTTTTTTTTTTGACACACAGCGCTCGGTAAAGATTTAAGGCTGAGTTGACCTATGGCAGGCCCAGGACACGTCCAAATATTCGCCGACATTGTTACTGGTTGTTGAGCGGGAATCGAACTCGGGTCGCCGGCTTCGTTGCGTAGTGCGCTAGCCACTGCGCCACCGGTCCCCCCTCACAGACACGCACATTGTTCACGTTGGAGGTAAATTGCTATTTTAAAATGTGGCTGGATTCGTTCCCTGTCATAGGAATGTGGAATTTCCACCACTGGCTTGGGCCTGTAAATAGGGAGGTGAACACAGCTCCACGCTTGATTGATTGTGAAATGGTTTTGGTTTGTGGACTTTTAAAACATCTAATATTTGAGGTCAGTTGGTCTCAATGCCTTGAAATCTGTGGAAGATTGAAACTAAAAAATGAACTCAACCATATTTTCATTTCATCAGGTAAGGCCGACTGAGCTATATGGTTATTTTTCAGAAGCATCCTGGCCACAGTTGATAGCTGGCTGACGTGGAAATGCATAGCAGGCAAATTTATCTAAAATGCATGTTGATTTTAAATGTGGAGGGAAAAACTGGAGGACCCGGAGAAAAATCCTTACAATAACGGGGAGAACATGCAAACTCAAAATAAACAAGCGTCAGGGTCGGATCAAACTCACGACCTCCTGTATACCAAGCGAGGTAGTTAACATCTCGCGACGCCCCTGGTTGATGGCAAGGGAAGTGACGAGTGGAATGTTATTGCAGCAAGAATGTTTGTGTTGTACGGTGCAAACTTACCGTTGGGCCAGGTTCTCCAGGAAAACCCAACGATCCCTGAAAATATCCAAACAACATTTTTCATTCACAATGGAATCTATTTTTTTAATACGGGTCACAGAAATGTGCAACTGCGAAATGAATTTCTAGAACGGAACGATTCTTTTTGTATGACAATGCTAATTTTGGAAATACATTTTTCGTTAAATTTAAAAAAAGTATATTTCAATTTGTCGCACAGTATGGCAAATGGGGTGGGGACGGGGGGGGGGGGTGCTGTTAAATGATTAATATTTTAAGATAATTGCACTGGGCCAGGTGGAGTTGTTTGTGGTTAGAGCACTCAGGGCAGTTGGAATCTCAAGAGTTTGAATCCCGCATAAGGATTCACTTTGGCTCATCATCCCAACAGAGTTGCTAAAAATGAGAACCACTTAAGGAAGACGTCAGCAGCTGTAATCCTATGCGTGACATTATACGCATATATAAGCAGATTATTTTTTTAATCCTTTCACCCTTTGGATGACCATTATTTGTCCTTATTGGTTATCCCCATCCAGTCGTGGCGATGCGGAATATCCACCACTGGTTCAGGATCAGCCAATGGAACAGGGTAATGGCAGAGGCAATCACCTACTCCATCAATAGAACATTAAGCACATTCCCTAATGCGACTTCTGTGGTCACCAGAGCTGGACTGTGGATCACGTGATCCAGCACAAGTACCTCCCTGCACCGCCGATCCACAGGCCATGTGTCACCTATTCCCACATTGCCCCCTTGCACCGCCAATCTGAGTCCACCAAGCTCTCCACAGAGGCAACTGAACTGCTTAATGGCCTCGATGTAGAGTACAAATAGCGTTGTAAAATGTCACCTTGCCCTATGAAGGAAGAATAAGAAGACGATCAACTGAGGATGGGTGCATCCCTGCGCTCATTTGAGCATGGAGATCCTCAATTAGATTGTATTTAAATAATTTACACACGTGTACTTTTTAAAATACAAAAACAGGAGCAAACACAATACATGTTAGGAGAAAATTACGAATTCATAAAATGTTGTCAAGGCTTTGTAAATGTTTCGCAGCTGTGCTGTCGAGCTCTCTGCTGTGTTTTCGGGTTGGATTGCGCGTGCTGCTCGGCACAATGTCCGACGTTTCGGCCCCACGTGCTTCCGAGCATCTCCAAGAACCCAATTTCCACTTTTGAAATTTTCGTTCCTGAAGACGCTTCCGGGACACTGAACGAATCGCACGATGTCCCAAGATTCGGTTATTCTTCAGTTCCTGAATTGACAAAAATTGTGCTTGTGATTTGTGTTCTCGTCATCAACTTACTTTTTCACCACGAGGACCAGCAGGGCCTGGCAGACCCTGAAGAAAGAGATTAATGAAGAAAAAAAAATGACATTTTAAAAGTCTCGAGGTATGTTACATCTCGAACTGGCTTCACTACCCGGCTGCAATGCGTGCATAATTAATGGGCGACGTTCACGCAAACTCATTCGATACTCAATGAAGGTCAGGTCTAGTTAGGGCCATTCCAGGACTGGCTTAGGTATCACTCGCCAATGATGCAAGCCAGAAAGTGAACTTCAGGTCGACGAGATCATAGGGCTTACTCTTTTTGTACCATCTCTCCTCCCCGCAGCGTAAGATATCCAAGGTTTTACTGATAGGAACCTCCTGGTTACACCAGCCCACAGGGGATTATTGTGTTAGTCCGTACGTCCGTCGTGCATCCAAAAATGGGAGGGGTGGGGCTGAGTGGAGAGGGGAGGGTGGGGATGGGCTGGGTGGGGAGGGGAGGGTGGGGAGGGGAAGGGTGGGGAGGGGAGGGTGGGGAGGGGAAGGGTGGGGAGGGGAGGGTGGGGAAGGGCTGGTCACCCCGTGGTGCCCTTATAAAACTCGACGTCTAACCTACTCACGCCGGATTGTGCCCGCCCTCACAGTCGGGCATATTTGCGGAATACACCACGCCGCCGTTGACCCTGGCCATTGACCGAGCAACCACTCGCCCACAATGTGCGTGACAGGAATGCAAAGGCAATAATGTCACGTTAAAACCGAGTGTCATACATTTAAATAATAGAGTAAAAATGATTAAGCCAGGAACTAGTGAAACTTCACATCTTGCTAAGTGCCTATGAAGATCACGTAACATTGCCAAGCATATATTACCGAGACCTCATCAGACATTTAAACTCGGAGAACATATCTTTCGTGTTTAAATGACCTAATTTGACAAAGTAACAGCTTCTGTCGCGCGGTGCTTTAGAGGCGAGATTTACAGATTAAGCGGAGATGGTTGTTGTGTAAGGCGAGGCGCTTAACTTGCTGGGTTCTGTGGCGGCGGTGGTGGATGGATTGCAGTACAGCAAATGGGTTTCTGACCCCATTTGCTTGGGCTTTTGAGAGTCGTTAGATCCTATGTGGGAGAAGTCTCAAGATTGTCTGCTGACGATGATTATTGTTATGATTAGAATGATGGTGCCAATGATGAAGATAACGGTCATATGAAGCACGTTAAGGATGATGGTTTTGCATTTGTAATAAAGGACTCGACCCTGGTTCTGTCTCCGTGTCCTTTATTTGGGTTCGTATTCTCTTCCCACACGGCACTCCTCCTGAGACTCTCTACTTGGCAGCTCCACAGCTGCCTTCGCTCCCGTAGCCTTCCGCGCTCCTGCAGCTCCTCTGCAGGTTCTTGGTGCAGCCCTCCGACTGCTCTCACAGCAGCTCCACCGCTGCTCCCTGTTCCTCCGTGCTCGGTCACCGCTGGCCGGCGGTGCCGAGTCTTACCGTGTGTGGCGATCTCGCCACTCCCCAATCTCAGCCCTCCGTGGCCTCTGTGGCTATCTCGCCATCTCCAACCTCAGCCCTACGTGGCCTCTGTGGCTATCTCGCCATCTCCAACCTCAGCCCTACGTGGCCTCTGTGGCTATCTCGCCATCTCCAACCTCAGCTCTATCCCCAACTCTCTTCCACCCCGCTGGCTGGCGCCGTCATGAGCCCCTCAGCCACCAGGCTGAGGCACGGCGACAACCCAACGTGTTCACCACCCTTCACTCCCTCGACTGACCCAGATGGCTTCCTGTCTCCCCGCTATAACTTCTCCCCCACGTGACCCTGACTCCTCCCTCTCGGATCGTCTGGTCCGCCCTGCCCATTTACGCCCGCATTACACATTTACACCATTAGTGCGCCTTTTGGCGTCATCTGGTCCAACCCATGTGAGACTAGGCTCTAAGGAAAGCTGTCTCGGGTGTGGACCAATCATCTTCAAGGACAGTGCACATTATCAGAGTTATGTTTTTTGTTTGCATTATGACTGCAGGTATTGTGGTCTATGCAAACGTGACTCCCTGTAAAAAAGGTGTCAGTTTTGTTGCCAGATAGAAGGGTAAAAAAACAATTATGATGATGGTTATGTTAATTTAATTACGAACAATGATGTTGTTGATGGTGTTGATGACACCGTGGTTGCCGAAAATAATAGTAATGATGATGATGATGCCAATGATAATTGATGTATGATGTGAATCATAGTAATGATGCTCCTGATGATAACATTGATGATGGCAATGATGATGATACCTATCGTATCAATAATGCTCGTGCAACTAATGATTGATGATGATGATGCTGTGACAATAATGATGATGATGTTGCTGCTAATCATGACGATACCTATCGTATCGATGATGCTGCTGCTACTGATGATTAATGCTGATAGCAATTATGATGATCCTGTTACTAGTAACGACGATGATGATTTTGCTGCTAATCATGACGATGATGATGTCACTCACTGCAAGTCCTTGAGGTCCTTGGGGTCCTGGAATCCCCGATTCTCCCTGGAAAGAAAAAAAACCGAGAAAGGGACTCTGGGTAAACGCTCATGGCCCAGACAGAGGCACACCTGCAAGCAATCTGCCTTAATCAAATTAATTAACTCACTTTGCAACAGAGTCCCACTGTGACCACTTTGGTCTCGCTCATATATTTAACCGAGGCCACCGAAATGAATTTCAATGAACTTACATTAAGATTAATTAGATCGCGGCTAATCTTCATTACGTTGCTCGGCTTTGTTTTGTCTGTCCATGGCTGTGGTGCGATGGGGTGGTGAGAGCGCTCGGCTGGCAAAGTCACGAGTTCAATTCCTGACGGAGGGGGGGGGGATGACTCAAGTCTAACCTAACTGGTTGATTTGATTACATCGTCACAAACCTATAATCGCAGATCAATTGAAGAATCAATATTTTGTTTGTCCAACTCTACGGCATTATTTCTGGTTCATGTTGTCTCGTTTGTACAGCGACGTCTGCTGCCGTTTCATAGCACATTGGATTCCCCCAGTCTAATAGAATATTCTGATAAAAAAATAAAATAATGCTAACAAATTGTAAATAACCGATACTCGGCACGCGCCATGAGTAACATTTAGCGGTAAGTGAACAGCAGTTGTTTCGCGGATAGAATGGTCCCTGACACGGGAATGTGGAATTTCCACCATTATATTCTATTTCGGATTTATAAAGCGTCTTTCACCAATGCGCTTGATAATTGCTTACCGACTACGGTACTAAATGGCAAAATAAGGGATGGGGTTGTGACTAGGGTGGAGAGAGCGAGGTGGAGGCTTTAGATGGTGCTGGTAGGGGTGGTGGAAGAGGAAGGGAAAAGGCAATAGAGGAAACAAACACGGGACCTGAGGGCAGTGCGAAAAGGGGAAAGCGAGGCGGAGAGTCGGATTTGGATGGGGAGTTTTTTTCCCGGTGGAAGGGGGCAAGCTAGGAGAAGGAGCGAAAGCGAGATTTGGCGCAGGGTGGAGACGGCACAGCAAGAAGATTGGCAGCTTGTGATCGGAGCGGGCGTGATGGTACATATAAGGAAATGAGAAGAGAGAGGTGAGGGTGGGGGGGCAGTCAATGCAAAGCTTTGCAAACGAAGGTGAGCAATTTAAAGAGATAGCGGCGATAGACAGGACGCCGGTGAAGTTGTTGAAGGAGAGGAGTGCACGGAGATGTGATGAGAAAATGAGATTTCTGGGCGATGTGGTCAGATGACGATGTGAATCAGAATGAGATGCAGTTTGATATTCACTCTTTACCTTTGGTCCGATAGGGACCTGACGCGCCTCTGTCCCCCTAGAAAGTGGCAAAGAAAAACATTACGCAAGGACACACACACACACCGTCTGACCCAGTGACACTGTGGTCAGACAGGCATACAAGCATCAAGTTACTTATTGACGTATTTAACCAGGTGAGACCAGGATAGAGTCATTTGCAAACATGACCCATATGTACGTTGAACTTTATTTCGCACCGTACGTAGCCGGAGGTGTGGGGAAGAACAACAAACTAAAAATAAAGTACACTCCTGCGATGAAGAAACAGTCACAATCAAAAGGTCACGAGTTCAATTCCCGAAGACACCATCATTGCACCGGGGTCGGTTTTGTGGGAAGCCCAAAGTGGTTACCAATATACATTCTGTATTCATGTATGTATTTTATTTTTTACAAGGCAAGGCCCAACTGAGCTATACAGTAGAGCTATTTTTCAGAAGCGACCTGGCTATCACAAATGATATCTCAACGAAGTGGCTTATCACGTGGAAATTTACAGCAGCCAACTACTCGAAGCGCATTGTTTCTAAATGTGGAGGGAAAAACCGGAGGACCCGCAGAAAAATCCATGCGACCACGGTGTGAGAGAGACACGCAAACTCCAATTATACAGGTGTCAGGGTCGAGATCGAACCCACGATCTCCTGTATACCAGGTGAGGAAGTTAACATCCGTCCACCATGGCGCCCCTAATACTGCCATAGTAATGCGGAATTTCCACCGACAGAGCTCCAATGTGGCCCGCAGTCATTCAATCACGGAGACACTTCAACTTTGAATATTGAATCAGAAGGTTCGTCGAGTCAGTGAACATAAACGTGAAGAAAAACCGCCAATAGGGAGAGAAGGGGGCCTTAATGTGACCTCGCTAGCTCCCTCCATTGTCTGTGAAATTGTGTACTCTGAAGAAGGGGTCGAAACGTCAACCAATTATGCACTTTGTCTTTTAAAGGCAGTGTTGTTGGCGAATTTGTTGAGATTTTGTTGTTGTTGTTTTAAATTGTGCTTGTGCACTACTGCCAATGCTGCAGAAGCAGAATCACCAACTAATTAGTCTCAATAATAAAGGGAAGGATTACATTCGGGTTACTTCTATAACCTTAAACAATTCGACGCTTGACCCATCACCATCATCATCATCATCATCCATCATTTAAATCCATCCAACAAGTGATGGATTATACATAATACAGGTTTTTTTTTGATCGTGTAAAAATAAATGTGTCGTTAAACCCGCCACCACCCGACATAGCCAATTAGTAAGGTTTGTCACGTAAACAGAACGTGCCAATTCGTTACTAGTACAGGGTTGGAGAGCAAAGCCACAACATTTACAATCTGAGTACAATCTGAAGGGATGGATTATTTTTGTTGGAACGTGCGCACCTCTGACCACGCTGCGTGTGTCGAGTTGCAAAAAAACAAACGGGGGAGGAAGAGAGACACACTCTCTTGGATTAACACGAGAGACGGAGAGAGGAGCACGCGGATTCGAGAGCGCAGGGAGATGATGATAATTTACGGGGCAGTGGGCCAGTCCAGAACAACGTCGCACGGAGGGACGAATGGCAACAATTTTTCGATTTAAATGGTTCGTGACTGCAGGGATTCATCTTGTTGGTTCTTTCGGTAAAGTCACGCAGAAGGGAAATAAAAAAAAATAAAAAAATAATAAGATAAAATTCTCACAGTGAGAATTCTCACAGTGAGAATTTTATCTCACAGTGAGAATTTAATCTTGTTATGTTTTTATTTTTATTAATAAGATAAAATTCTCACAGTGAGAATTTTATCTTATTATGTTTTTATTTTTATTATTTTATTTCCCTTCTACGTGACTTTACCGAAAGAACCAAGATGAATGCCAACAAGTCGACGGAAGGTATCCGCGAGGACGTGCGCCGAGGGGAGATGGAGCGATGAAATGAGTTCACGTGGTGGAGCAAGGTGGATTTGTTGTGTGCGTGCAATTGTTGACCCCGAAAGCCTCACCGAGTCTCAAAGGCTATTCTTACGAGGGTCCAGCCAAGTTTTGGCAGAAGAGGGCGATGTTGTCCCGTGTGCGATCCCAACTGAGTAATTTGCAGGCGATTGTTTTTGGGGTCTGGGATGTTTGGACAACGCTCATTACTTTGTGTGTGTGTCTGGTTTTTTAACTATGGGAGGAACAAGGGGAGAGTGTAAAAATGTAAAAATACAGAAAGGCACCCGAGTCGAGAATAAACCCACTCTTTTTTCTTCCTGATGACGAACGCTTGCGTAGCGATCGAAACGTCGTAGTTTTTAGTTATTTTTGCGATATTCTTTGAACCTATCTTGCCCATCGCCACACAAATTACCTCTTGTTGTCACGTATAAAAATAAAATAATAAATTAAATAATAGCATACGACGTTTCGATTGCAACACAAGCAATCATCATCAGGTATAATGAAATAGCGACATAGAATATAACCAGAAAACTATAGACAGACATATAAGCAGACAGATATCACCAAGATACATAGAGAGAGCAACCCAGGTACAGAGAGAGGTGATCGTCTCTGTGGGGTGGCCTTAAATAGACAGAGGGGGGCGGAGGCAGAGAGAGGGAGGGGGTAGGGAAAACATGTACATGGCAATGAGTACGAAGGGAGGGGAGTAAGGTAAGCAGGCTTAGAGGGAGACAGAACACACTAAATTAAATAACCTAGCAAAGTATCGAAATGTTATGTAAAACGACACAGAGAGTCGGTCAACACACAATTAACGCATTGCCTGGTCGATTACGTATTTCAAAGATTGCTAAGTTAGAATTTAAGTGTGAAAATTCCAAAGAAAGACAAAACATAAAAAAGAGGAACGGAGACACACAGACAGAGCAGAACCTAAGAACGATACAAAACGAGTGTAGACAGAGAAAATTACACTAAATATACAGGCAGAGAGAGAGAACAAGAAACCCAGAGAGAGAGAGAAAAAGGTAAACTTGGAACTTCCCCGTAGAAGTGGTTCAATCTTAATTTTGGAGCTTTCGTGACTGCAGGAATTATTCTTTGGTTTTTTCGGTAAAGTCACGTATAAAAATAAAATAATAAATTAAATAATAGCATACGACGTTTCGATTGCAACACAAGCAATCATCATCAGGTGTAATGAAATAGCGACATAGAATATAACCAGAAAACTATAGACAGACACTTAAATTCTAACTTAGCAATCTTTGAAATACGTAATCGACCAGGCAATGCGTTGTGTGTTGACCGACTCTCTGTGTCGTTTTACATAACATTTCGATACTTTGCTAGGTTATTTAATTTAGTGTGTTCTGTCTCCCTCTAAGCCTGCTTACCTTACTCCCCTCCCTTCGTACTCATTGACATGTACATGTTTTCCCTACCCCCTCCCTCTCTCTGCCTCCGCCCCCCTCTGTCTATTTAAGGCCACCCCACAGAGACGATCACCTCTCTCTGTACCTGGGTTGCTCTCTCTATGTATCTTGGTGATATCTGTCTGCTTATATGTCTGTCTATAGTTTTCTGGTTATATTCTATGTCGCTATTTCATTATACCTGATGATGATTGCTTGTGTTGCAATCGAAACGTCGTATGCTATTATTTAATTTATTATTTTATTTTTATACGTGACTTTACCGAAAAAACCAAAGAATAATTCCTGCAGTCACGAAAGCTCCAAAATTAAGATTATTATTTTTTGTTTTATTTTATTTTTCTATCTACGTGACTTTACCGAAAAACCCAAAGAATATGAATTCCTGCAGTCACCAAAGCTTTAGGTCAAGATTTAAATCCCAGGCCCTTCTTGCTGTGACGCACAAGCGTCACCACTGCGCCGCTAATTTGGAAATCGGAAGTCGCGGCAGTTTGGGGAGGCCTTCATCCAGCAGCGGATAGATGATGGCCGCCGCCACCAACGACGACGATGATGATGACATAGTCAAATTCTCTTGTACGCAAAGAACCTGGGCTTGAACCCAGGCTCCTCGTGGCATTGGCTGAGCGCTCACCACACAGACAATAAACAGCAGCAGGAGCACAGACATCAGGGGCAAGGACAAGTCTGCCCTGAGGTGAGGGGGGGTGTGAGACATTGCGTAAGAGAGATGTGACAAGATCTAACGTTTGTTTTAGATTTCATATCATGGTTTTATACTGTATATATTTAAAAATGTAATCTCTCTATATATCCTTTGCCAACTGAGTTGGCGGCAGACCTATTTACCACACGCGTTCTCAAATGTGCGAGGGCTTAACCATGCAGTTGTTTTCGCAGTCAGTCGCTCGCAAATGACCTGTGTTTAATGAATTGTATCACCTCCAAAAGACGTCTACAAGACATCACAGAGGAAGTTTCAAACGTAATTGCTGCCAAATGGATGCTTTCTCTCATGCAGTTTCTGCAGTGTCAAACCAATGCCCATATTTGACACATTCCATTTTAGGTAACTTTTAAAATCTTTAGGACTTTTCTTGTAACAATTACTTTATTTACTACCACCGGTTCATTAGAATTGTTTGCTATCTGTGTCATGTCCTTTGGAACGAGTCCATTCGCCACTTAGGAAGCAGTGCATCACCCTGTGTGTAAGAGAAGAGCTAGAAAAGGGTTATTACTTGGCGGGACTTCAACCAAAAACAACGTCCTTCAAGTGATCTTCATTGTTGACAAAGCAGAGGCCGCACGTATCTGATAAACTCTGCTGTCAGATTGTTTGTCGAATGACAAACAGGATATTACGACTCCTCAGCGCAAAAACGTTTGCCAAAGTACGTGCAAAACAATGTTTAATATCACGGTGGTTGTTTTGCCGTTGATGTCTGCTTTCGTTAGAAACCGGACTGATGCTCAATATTCGCGGCACTTGAGGAACCAGTTGAATTGAGGACGTCTGCTTGGATTCAACCCGAGAATATCAAGTGGCTCTTGCTCAGTACTCTAACATTTATTTTTTATAATTCAATCAGAATATTTATTCAAGACTGCAGGATCTCGATGAGCTATGAAATCTCTTTGTTTCACAGATGCCCAGCATGGGGCCGGTCAGCAAGTTTCAACAGCAAACAATACCCAAAAACAAAATCCCAAAAACAATACCAAAAACACCGAGAGGAGTGCCTGTTTACGGGTACTTTGGAGTACACGGACCGGACGGGAAAAACAAAACGAAGGCTCGCTTTGTAGACTGGTGTTGCCAGCTTGCTCTTCTTTTGTTTCTGTTGGTGGCTGCTGGCTTCAAGGAGAGAATTGGAGGCTCTGGTTAGAACACCCACGGAGAGAGAGAATGATTCATAGGCGCGAGGAAGAACAACAGAGAGGCTGGGAAGGCAGCCAACGCGGTGAGCCGGAGCCAACGATTGCCCAGGTAAAGCCCACTGAGGTATTAACTTCTATTTTCAGAAGCGACCTCGCCACAAATGACAGCCCAACAAAGTGGCTCATCGTGCGGAAATGTATCGCGGCAAAAACAATCGAAGTGATCCAAATGCACGTTTCTAAAATGTGGAGGGAAACAAAGAACGGAGGACCTGGAGAAAAAAACAAAAATCCACGCGACCACGGGCAGAATGTGCAGCCTCCAAATATACAGGCGTGAGGGTCGGGGATCGAATCCCCGACCTCCTGTAGAACCACCTGGGCTGCCAAAAGCGGGAGCGACCTGGCCACAAATGATAGCTCAGCAAAGTGGCTTATCGTGTGGAAATGTCTAGCAGCAAAACAATCTAAACAGCTGCATGGACGTCACGGGGTTTGTCAGGACCCCTCTCTTTCCCTCGATGCGCCTCGTCCCGTCTCCGCCCGACCACGAGGCTGCCACTGACCCGAGCGTGTGGTGTTAGGAACGGGATGCGAAGGCTATCTCTGGTGAGTGGCGCGGGGGGGGGGGGGTAGAGAGCTTGCGAGGAGGTAATCCGTCGTGAATCCCACGCTTGACGTCGTGCAAATAATAATGAGCGATGCGTTTGAGCAAAGAGGAAAATGGATTTCTGTGGAGATTTTGAAAGGCTGGAATAAAAATAACCCGCGCTTGGGCTTGCACGGATATTAACGTGGAGAATGGGAAACAGTTGGAACCAATACAGAAAACACTTTTTCGAAGAAGGCATTCTGAAACTTAAGAGTTTAAAATGAGACTTTGAGAGTGGAAGAATTTAGGTTTTTAAAATGTATGGAAAAAAATACAACTTTGAGATGCGTCATATATGCAGCACCTACGCGTGTGAGAAGCATTAACAATATAAGCGAGTATCTTTAATGATGGACGATTGTTGTAATTGCTAAAGTTGGAGAGGCAGAGCTGTGAACAGAGCGCAGGAATTACAATCGCAAAGTATTTTTTGTTTACTATTTTTATTTGACCATATGAGGCCCACTAAGCCTAGATGGCTCTTTTTGAAAAAGTGACCTGGCCACAAGTGATATCTCAACAAAGTGGCTTAGCATGTGGAAATGTGCAGCAGCCAAATACTCCAAATGCACGTTGATTCTAAATGTAGAAGGAAAAATCGGAGGATACGCAGAAAACTCCATGCAACCACGGGGAGAGAGAGACACGCAAACTCCAAATGTACAGCAGCAGGCGCCAGGGTCGGGATCGAACCCACGCACTCCTTCATACCGGGCGAGGGAGTTAAAATGTCGCCCAGGTCACGGGGTCAATGCCGTCCCTCATAGGTCAATGCAAGTCCTACGACTACTGTCATTTTGCCATAATAATTCTAATTCCGCATTTGTTTTTTTCTGCACAATTTGCAATGCAATTAGAACTGGGGAATTGCGTGAGCTCCCTTCAACAACTGTTGCAATATTAACCACGATCACTGAAAGAGTAAAAAAACAATGTTTGTAAAGGTTCAGCCGTGCAATTACTTGATGACATCACACGCGACAGAGGCGATGTTGGACTTTTGTTTCCGAAGAGTCTTTCGGTCTTGAAAGAGGTGGAGCTGTTGTCCCCACACTCAACCCCACCCCACGGGACCTGCCAATCAACTGAACTCTGCTGTACCCATTGAGACTTCTGGGTAGATAGAGGGGGTGGAGGGTTGATTGAAAAACCTTGCATCATTGTTCAACTAAAACTATACCATTTTTATTTCACCAAGTCAGGCCCACTGACCGATGTAGCTCTTTATCAGAAGCGACTAGGCCACAAATTATAGCTTAATGAAGTGGCTTATCACGTGGAAATGCATCGCGGCCAAATACTTTAAACTAACGTGGATTCTGAATGTGGGGGGGGGGGGGGGGGGACCGGAGGACCCAGCGAGAAATCCTCGTGACCATGTGGATAACATGCACTACAAATATACAGGCATCAGGGTTGGGATCGAACCCACAACCTCCTCTATATTAGGCAAGGGAGATGACATCTTGCCGTGTTTCAACTGCCACACCAGGAGATCAAACTTGTGGCCTCTGGATTGCAAGTCCAGTGTGTCAGTTACCATTACTCCACAAAAGCATTATCTACGATTGCTTCAATAACAGACTATAATAATTATTATAATCATGTAAAATCGAACAAAGATGGTCAGTGCATCATGTGCTTTCAGATGCGCTTCTGCGGTCATCTGGAATGATCTTCCTACCGAAACAAGAAAACCTCTGGAGCTATGCACTGTTAAATCTGGATTGGAAACTCATTTCTTTAGGACTGCTTTTTGTGTTTAGTTTGTTATCCTTCCATAGCACCTCCGATTACTGCGGTTGGCTACGTAGGGTGTGAAAGAAGTTCAGCATACATACAGACAAGCATTGCCCCCTCCACTTGTCTGAGCAGATGCAATCACAGAGCCAGGGATTAAGGTTCGGGGATTGAATGGTGCAATTATCACTGAAAGCTACTTGTGATTCGACGCGAGTTGAGTGACAATTTGAGAACACTTACTCTGTCCCCTTGAGGCCCATGGTTTCCTGGTGAACCGGAATCCCCCTGTAAAATAAAAATTCACAGTAATTATTCTTTACAACCATTAACAGAGAGGAGCAGTGAGGCGTCGGTGCCATTATATGCACACGTGGGTCAGCGAGTTGATCCTTGAGTCAACGTGTCTCTCAGATCATTCCAAATTCAAGAATCTGAATTGCAGAATCTGATTATTTATACTGCAGGAGGAATCCGATGAGCTATAAAGCTCTTTTTCACAGATGTCCAGTAGGGGCTGGGTCAGAGCGTTACAACAACAAACGATACAAAAAACACGATTTCAGCGCAAAGTATAGGAAAGGTAAATAAATCACTTAAATATATATAATAATGAAGCTAAACTATGTTTACATTACCAGGTAAATCCCACCGAGGTATTAACTTATTTTTCAGAAATGACCTGGTCACAAATGAAAGCTCAACAAAGTGGCTTATCGTGTAGAAATGCATCGCAGCAAAACGATATGAATAGCTGCATCGACATCACGAGGTTGTTACGGCCCCGATCTTTTCCTCGATATGCCGTGTCCCATCTCGGAGACATCGACGATCGTGGCTTTCCATTTTACTCCGACGCCAAATCCCCCAAAAAACTATTTGGTGCTGCTGCTGCTGTATTGGCAGTGCTGCTTAGGCACCTCCGGTTAGCACCGTTCGCTACAAATGGTGTGAAAGAAGTTCAGCATACATGTAAAAAATGAACTCACACATTTACGAATAACACTAATAAACACAACGGGTGACACGTCAAGCAACGGCCCTTCTTCATAGCACCAAGTATGTGCTGATTATGTTTTTTCATCCCACCAGAACTCGCCCCAGCTCCCTTTTTCCTGCCAGAATCCACAATCGTTGAGCAGTCGGCACCCGACTCCCACAGTTTCCTCTAACAGTCCCATCATCACCAGACAAAGACAAAGATGTCACGCATAGCCTCAAGATACTTTTTGGGCAAGTGTTGTTAGCGAGCACCTATTAAGGCCAGCACGGCACACGAGGGGGTGGGTGGCCAGCACCATGCCCGGCCGCCTTTGTCTTCCTAGTGGCGATTTTTACAAACCCCACCAGGTACCCATTTGAGGCTGAGTCGGCCTAGGGGGGTCTAGGACCGGTTCAGATAATCGTCACTGGAGTCGTCCGTGGGCGGGATTCAAACTCGGGTCGTCAGTTTCGTAGCGCAGCGTAGCGCTAACGACTGCGCCACCGCTCTCCATCATCACTCCCGCCACCGCCACCATCTGGTGTTGTCTTGCCCTTGGTAGGCAGACGACATCTGCGCACCGATCCCCAGGACGTGTTTAGGTAACCTGCCCTCCTCCAGCCTGCAAGCCTTAAATGAGCACCTGGTGCGCGGCTCGTAAACATTGGCACCGGGGAGACAAAGGCAGTCAAGCGTCGTGGTGCTCGCGACACAATAGCCACTCGTGCGAGGTTAAGGCCTGCATAGCTACTCGCAAACGGCACTTGCCCCAACAGCCGGAGAAAGGCTACACAGGGGACCTTTGTCTCTGCATGTGTGTGTGTGTTTGCATTCCTCTCGTCGACTTGCTATTCGCTGTATAATTTCATTGAAGCAGCAGCGTTAATGAGATGTCGAGAATTTGTGAAGACAAAAAATACAATTACCTTAATGCCTGGAGCACCGGCAGGGCCCCTTGGACCCTAAAACATTGAAAAACAGAAGATATAAAAGTTTAATTGTAATGTGATGGATTGCATTAAAATGCGTTACATGAGTCATGAGCTAAGAAAGAAAGATCTCCATATTGATGTAAAAAAAGTATTTTTTTTAGACATCACCAATTATATTGCCCATTAAATGTGTGACAATGCCTTGGTGGCAGTGGGTGCAGCGAGCAGCCGGAAACAAAAAACAAACTCAACACGTTCGTCGATGACACTGCGACGGCTCTTCCCGGCACGTGCGCTGAACAAGGGTCATGGCCCAAAACGTCGCCTGTTTACGCTTTCCCTTGGGGGTGGCGTTACCGGCGGAACACCTCGAGCGCCGATAATTACATCGTGAACGCGCGATCGGGGTCGCCACGAGGCAACTGGAGTTCCCGTCGGGAAAGCCCTCGCAAGCTGGCGGTGCACCACCTTGCTGCCGGCAGCCGCCCACAAGACAACGTTGACGACTCCTTGGTGGGTGCGAATGCTCGCAAGGAGACCAATGCTGCTGAAATGATGCACTCCCAGAAGGCCGCGTGGCTGATGGCATGTGTAGAACACGCTTTCTTTGTTTTTGACGTGGAAGGGCAGCTACGTTGATGGGCGGGGAGGGGGGGCGAAACTTTATGCTTTAATTTTAGCCGGTTCAAAAACGATGCGTTAATTGTTCACAGTCGCTGGTGACCAGGCCGAGACCATCAGCTCTTTCCGCTTGGCACAGGCGAACGGCGATGCCTTGCCAGCGGCAAAGCATCCCACCGTTTAGCGGTCTCCTCGACGAAGCCCCCAACCGCGGCTGTGTCTCCCTGTCACAACCACGGTCGCGCGTCGCAATGTCACAAACATCGTCGCGTCTTTGTTGGCGACTGCCCCCACGGATTTGAGCGGAGATCTGCGGGTTGCCCCCCCCACCCCGCCCCCCGCGCGGCGCACCGAGGGACGCCGACGCACGGCTGGGGGATCGTGCCAGGACATGGGTGTGAACCCAGGGGAGTTCAGCATCTCTTGATGACCACGAGACATCCTCAAGCATGTCGATGATCAGTGGCGCTTGTGTTGCGACCGAAACGTCGTGTTTTCTTTTATTATTTTTTCTACCCACGTGACTTTACCGAAAGAATCAGAGAGTATGGATTCCTGCAGTCACGAAAGCTTCATATCAAGATTGATGACGGAGTTATTTGATTGACGACTGAAGATTTATTGATGATGGATTATGTATTGATAATTCATTAATGATATAATGATACATAGATGATATATTGATGATGATAGATTGATGAAGTCAGATTGATCAAGATCAAGATGATAGATTAATGACATATTGATGACAGATTGATGATGGTGATATATTGATGACATATTGATGACAGATTAATGATGATGATACATTGATGACAGACCGATGATGATAAACTGATGACAGGCATGATGATGATGACAGATTCATGATCATAGATCGACGATGACGACAGATGAACCGATTCACGATGACTCGCGATCAGCCCCCAGGGCCGGATTCGAACTCGCAACCTTGCGGCCGCGAGTCACGCGCTCCAACCCGCGGCACCAAGGATCGCGTGGCGCCAGTCCTCACCGAGGGCCTTGCAAATCACAAGAAATCCCCCGCGGGGCGTGAAAACGCCGCAAGAGCAGCAGCAGCAGCGCCAGCCAAAGTCTCACGAACTCCAAAACTCTCGCCCGCCACGCGTTCTCACCGCCCCCCCCTTCCCAAGGTCCGGATTCACATTTGTACCAATGAACAGATGGGCTGAATGTGTAATTATAATCATTTTGCATATGAATATGGAGAGCAATGCTGCTTGTTATGCAAATAATACACCTTCATGTGTGCGCGGGTCTCCAGGCAATGTAAAGAACGACCACAAAGTTGCGGTGCGCATAATATAATAGAGAAACGAGAGTATTGGTAAACAAACAGGCAACAAAAAAAAATACGCGATGATAAATAAACAGAGGTGGAGTGGGTGACGTGCTGATGTAGAGCAAATACATTCTCGAGCATACAAATGTTGTCTTGGGCAAATCTGCGTTTCTCTCTTTTAATGTTGGACAAGTGGCCGCTCTGCCAATGTTCCAAACGGACTCTTCGTCGGATTTGACGTGAAGTCGGCTGCACGTTTTTGGGATAAAATAAAAAAAAAGAATACAACAAAGAGCACCAACATTGCATTACGAACTTGCCTATGGTTTTACCGACAAGCGGCAATGAGCACTTTTTGCGGGGCAATCAACAGGAGGAGGGGCTAGCGAAGTGACCAAAAATAGTGTCAAGTTCACTTTTGATCAAGCTAGGCGAGAATTCAAGAAACCAATGGGAAGTTTTGTCTGCGAGACCGACCTTTGGCCGGTTACGTTTGCCGCAGGTAGCGGGTCGGGGGGGGAGAAATGCTCTGCCTAATCCCAATTGAGTCACGTCCGATGCGATTTTGCAACTTGGGAGATTTCGACCCTAATAACGACGCACAGTGGCCTGCTCGTGCGAAATGACGTCACGGGATGCTTGACGGCCAATGAGAGTGAAGCAGATGGTGTGTAGCATCCAGAATTAGATTTATCAGAATCAGTATTATTATAATTACAACATAATAAAGTAGTTTTTTTGGGGGGTAGATCGCGGATATATAAATGTGTCGTTATACCAGCCACTACCCAACACGGTCAATTAGTAAGGTTTATCTCGTTAACAGAACATGCTTTACAACCGCCTGGTTCGATAATCACCAGCAAAACGTCACACTCGAATTGTAAATGTTGCGTGTTTACTCTCCAACACACAGGCGGTGTGCTGAACGAGTTTTGTTTACGTGACAAACCTCACAAATTGGCTGTGTCGGGTGGTGGCGAGGTTTTACTGACACATTCATATTTACAAGATCTAACCGATAAAAGTTAACTTTTATCATGGACAACAGTGCCGCGTAAAAGCCTACGTGTGTTATAATTACCGTGAACCTGTGCAACGAGTGGCCAATGCCCCCTACCGCTTATCCACCGCCTCACCACCTCCTGACGGATGGTGCTGTGACGTCAACCTCTGTGGCCATGCCACCGCTCACTGGTAGCGTTCTAATTGGTACACGTGGTCATCTCATAGCGTGGTGCCCGTAGCGCGCGGCAAATTGGGATTTCATTCTAAGAATAATGAAAACTAAAATAAAATCCGGACGAATTGCAAAGGGAGCCTCAGTTCGCTGCCCTCTTGTAATGGACGGGGCTGTGGCGTGAAATAAGTTCGAGACAGAAAGAAGAGTCGTCCGTTTCCGCCCGCAGCCGCGGCGGTCAAGTTAGCCGCGACGCTACGATGGCTCGTGCGCCTATCCACTCGCTGGCTGGGTGACATCGGTGACCTGGCTCGTGTACGCGATTTGTTTGACGGAAATCGCTGCGGCGCAGCAGAGGGAGCTACGCCGCTTGCTCTGTGCGTGCGAGTGAGCCACGTGGGACCGGGCGGGGGTTGAGTTAGGAGGAGGAGGTGAGGTGCGATTGGTACCGTCTGTCCGTCTGTGCCAGGGAGGCCAGGCAGGCCAGGGAGACCCAGGCCTGGTCCACCCTAGAAGAACGCAGCGTAGACATTGCATCGCAATAACGTAGACATTGCATTGCAATAATGCAGACATTGCATTACAATAACATAGACATTGCATTGCAATAACATAGACATTGCATTACAATAACATAGACATTGCATTACAATAATGTAGACATTGCATTGCAATAACATAGACATTGCATCGCATTAATGTAGACATTGCATTGCAATAACATAGACATTGCATTGCAATAACATAGGCATTGCATTGCAATAATGTAGACATTGCATTACAATAACATAGACACTGCATTACAATAATGTAGACATTGCATTGCAATAACGTAGACATTGCATTGCAATAACGTAGACATTGCATTACAATAATGTAGACATTGCATTACAATAACGTAGGCATTGCATTGCAATAACATAGACATTGCATTACAATAACATAGACATTGCATCGCAATAATGTAGACATTGCATTACAATAACATAGACATTGCATTGCAATAATGTAGACATTGTATTACGATAACATAGACATTGCATTACAATTTTGCAGGCATTCAATTCCAACAACACAGGCCTTGCATTCCAATCACACAGACATTGCATTACAATCACATAGAGATCGCATTCCAATCACATAGAGATTGCATTCCAATAACGTAAACATTGCATTCCAATAACAGACATTCCAATAACACAGACATTGCATTCCAAAAACACATACCCTGCATTGCAATAACCTATAGATTGCATTCCAATAATGTAGACATTGCATTGTAATGACACAGATACTTCATTGCAAACTGACAGATATTGCATTGCAACTACACAGACGCTTCATTGCAACAACTACACAGACGTTGCATTTCAACTACACAGACGTTGCATTGTAACTACGCAGACACTGCCTTGTGACGTTGCACAACCATCAACGAAGCACAGCCCAGGTGTGTAGCGACAAGTTGTGAGCCGTTTGACTTTCTTGCACTGCATCCCCCTTGACTGAGTTTATCAAAAAAGACTCGACTGGTAGTCGTGCTAACCTTTTCTCCGTTGAGTCCTGGCGGTCCTGGTTCTCCTCTGGGTCCAGTTGGGCCCGGTGGTCCCTGGGAAATGAAAGAAATGCACAGCGAGTCATCGTTCAATGCGCTGGCAGTGTGGTAGGAGCAGTAGATGCGTTCCGTAAAAGTTCCGCGCGTTAAGCTGAAAAGCGCGTTAAGCGAGCAATTACTGCGCACACATTGCAGTGCATGAATAACAAAAATATAAATGCAAGCTGGGAACCGCATTTGCGCCGTACAATCATCCAGCAGTCATCCCAAGGCGGGACAAAGAAGTGAGATGAGGGTATAACGCCGCCGCCGCCACTTTACCGCATCATTCCGTGTCTGTATCGCACAGCTTAGCTGCGGAACTCGAGAATGTAGTTCGTCATCGACCGCTCAGAAACCGCGTTATAACGGCGCGTGCGTCGCGTTATAACTGTGAGCATTCCGCGTTATAACGGTGCCGCATTCCGCGTTATAACGGTGCCGCATTCCGCGTTATAACGGTGAGCATTCTGCGTTATAATGGTGCACGCGGTCTGTGTTATAACGGTGCGCGTTCTGCATCTTGCGAAGTGTTCCCAAATAAAAGAACTGCATCGTAGCGAAAATGCTGAAACGCTTTCAACGAGTGCCTGCCGCAATAGCAAACAGCGCAAATTCCCCGTCAGTGCAGGACCTAATTAAATTATCATCACTCAGAAGGTTGCTGCCGTTTGTCGAGAAACGGAAGGCAATGCTCCTGAGTCATTTCTGCCGCCAGGCCAGGCCCTTCTGGGTATGTTCGTGCCATCTACAGCTGTACGAAAATCCGGAGGATCATCATGGCCGGTCCAACAGAGTCCTGTGCACTGGGCCCAATGCCGACGCACATTTTGAAGGAGTTTCTTCCAGAGCTTCTGCCTTTCATCGCGAGTATGTGTAATGCTTCACTCCACGCAGGATTTTTCTACCAAAGAGCCGGCGCCATGCAATAGCAGACCCCTCCGACAAGAGTAACCACAGGCCAATCTCCAATTTGACATTCATGTTCGAAAATAGTCGAGAGGTATGTGGTCAGCTTACAGCTGATCTCGAGCGAAACAGCCTCGTTCTAAGCCTTCAATCGGCATACCGACGTGGCCACTCAACAGAGACGGCACTGCTGAAGGTCATCCACGACACCCCCATTGCAGCTGACTGTGGTGAAGTCACACTACTCTGCTTACTAGACCCGTCTTCTGCGTTTGACGTGGTTGATCGTAACATCTTAGTCAGCCACCTTCGAACTGCTTATGGCATGCAGGGTACCGTGCTTTCATGGATTGAGTCCTTCATTACAGGTCGGACGCAAAGGGTCAGCTTTGCCGAAAACGTTGATTATGAATAATATTGGTCGCGAAAGCCTACGTGTTAAATGGACTCATAACAGTGTGCAATATCAAATGTTCCTACTTACTTATAATGCGATAATATTAATTGCATACAATAACATAATACATCAATAACGATAACAAATACTGTGAACAAACAACATTGCTATCTCCTCCACGTAACAAGCAATGGAGTTAAATAAGAACGTTGCCCATCATCGGCCGACCAACCTGCCTGGACAATCTGTTGAAGAGCAGCATTTGATTTGAGCCGGAAAGCTGTGACCGCATCTTCAGACGAAATAAAAGCTTCACCACTTTCATATCACTAACGGCTGCCCCTTCCTAAAGTGGAAAAGCTCACCCGCCATGCCCCACTGGGTATTCCGATCAACAGTGTTGCCAAGCAATTGGTGGAATTATTGGCAAACATCTCGTGAGCTTAATTTCAACTTGATCACATCAACTGTGTTACAGTTATGAATTTCATGATTACAGTTACTTGAACGAATGTTTGGTAATTACTTTTAAATCGAAATATGACCTCACATTTCCATAATGTGCCTATATACTCATTGAAACGAGTAGGCATTTGTGAATAACAAATTAATAACCTGGGAGGCAATAGAGTACAATATTATTTTTTGAATGGGGCCTTTTTGTTGAAGTTTGATGATTGTTATTTGCAGTGAGCCATTCCTCCGAGTGTAGGCATTTTAAGTAAATAAGATTTAGTTTTTATAGAACATTGGCAGTGCTACACAAGCTCAAATTACAGTAAATCAACACATTCATCAATAACCCCGCCATGAAATGACATTTTATATATAATATGCAACATTTTGGGAAATGGCCCATCTTTATTGCAGACAAACAGACCGTGACTGCTATGAAGGGTCATTGCCTGAAACGGTTACTATTATCTATATTTAGCTTAGTGTTATTGATGAACGGGTTGAACTTGTGTTGTTGTTACGAAAGAGCAGGCACTTTACAGGAGAGAAGAAGCAATGCTCACTGGTGGGTGGGAAGATAGGGCAGTGGCAATTTGTTAAATCGGATACAGGCAGCCAGTCATAGGTAGAGGAAAATAGGAAGGTCTTGAGCCTGAACTTGAACAAGGGTAGGGCATTGGTCACGTGGACACCAAGAGGGTATGAATTCCAGACCACAGTAGGCCGCAGAGTAGAAGGAGTAACGTCGCACTGAGCGGAGATCGACTCGTAGATTTGACGGATGCCCGGAGCGGAAAACACGTGGAGGAGAGTCGAGCGAGATTGGAGAGGAGTGGTGCTGGTTGGGCAGTGATGAGTTCACACAGGATCTGTACGGTCGTGTTTTGCGTTCAACCGTGCATTGTTGTAATCGTTGTTTGGAGTGTTTTACGAACTTTCACCGCTCCCCGTGCTGCGAGCTCTGGCATGGCGAGCGAAACGTGGTGGGAAGCGTCGGACATCGTGCCAAACCTATTCTTGTCGTGCGGCTGATGTAGCTGCAGAGAACAACGACTACAATTTCACATTCAAGTGGTCAAGTCAGATAACCGCGTCAGGAGACAGCGGAGGAGCGTGTCGCTGCGATGTCTCCGACGTATTTGTGGACCGGGGCATTGCGTCGTTATACGTCGTCACGGTCTGTTCTGGACGACACCCACAGTCGCACCGCTACTGGAGAGTTTTTTTTAGGTTTCCATTCGCGCATCGGGGTATCCGCATTGTGCCAAATGACGTGGGGGGGGGGGGGGGGGTACGAGACGCAAACCGCGCCGCGCGGCTCTCCGGCGCAACGGTGAACGCCGACGAGGACGCAGGGCAACTTGTGTGCCGAACCAGGATCTGAGATGATTGGCAGCCAGTGGAGGCGTTCCTGAGGATTAGGGGAAGCGCAACGCGTATTTGTCGAGTGTGGGGGTGGGGGGAGAGAAAAGGCTGAGGATGTAAGTTGTTTTGGCGATGGGTTTGGGTGAGCCACAGAGGAGAGGGGCGTTGAGACTTGTCGAGATGGCGTGCGATGAAGGCATGGATTAGGAGGTCTCAGCTGCATGCGGGGGTAGGGATGTAGGGTGGAGGTAGGTGGATTATAGGCATAAAATTAATTTCCATATAATCAACATTTCATGGGAAGGCACTGAATTATTCACACATTGGCTCCCGATGGGAATTAGCTTTTTTTTTATTCTCACCCAAATGTGTGAATTGCAACACATTTTTTTTTTATCGGTTGCAAGTCTGGTGGAAATTGATGGCTCTTGTTGAATTTTAAAATTCACGGCACTTAAAAGTATATTGCAAATTGAAATATTACATGAATTACAGAGCACGTGCCACTTCCACTTTCACTGCCATCGCAACCACCATCACCAGCACCATCACCAGCACCACCAGCACAACTGCCAGATCAACAGTCCCTGTATCGCTTACAGACTTGTTGGTGAAGGTGATGTTTGCGAGCACCTATTAACGCCAACGCATGGCTGCCGATGTATCCCCGTACGTAGCCAACCGCGCTAATCATGCAAACATTTAAAATTAACAAATTATAAATGAAGGGATGATCGTGACTGACGACCAATCACATCCGGCCAGGTGGTGGCTCAACGCTAAAGCGAGCGGCTCGCAATCAGAAGGTTCCGAGGTCACATCCTGGTTGGGGGTTGACTCAGCCCCATCCATCATCATCATGCCTCCCAGTAGGGTCGATAAAATAGAGCACGCTTCGTGGGACAGTCAACGGTTGTTGTCCTGTGGATAGACTCGCCCCAACCATAAGAATGTGGAATTTCACCCACTGGCTAAGAGCCATAACCAAGAGATGCTCATTTGAGCAGAAAGTACCTTTTGAGGTTTTGGTTTCTAATCATGAAGATAAAGATGCTGGCAAGGTCAAAACATGCTGGTGACCGTGATGGCGCTGATAATTTACTGAGCTGGACTCGCCCTCGCCATGGGAATATGGAATTTCCACCACTGGCACAATTGATACGACCGCTGGCCCATCTCTCATTTGAGGTGGGAGACACTTTGACAGAAGTAAAAAAATATATATAGACCGTTACTCGTAAATCTTAACTTTGTTTTCACGATTCAGCGTATTTTTATATGACGGGAAGAGAAGATTTCTTTCACGTGCTCAGTCAGGATATGAATATTTTTACAGAGATATGTCCAATACGGTCATCAATTGCCATAAACGACAGCAGTATAAAAGAAAACGACAAGCAATATTGTGTCCAAAGCATGAGAGCTACATTGATCTATTCATTTTTCCTTGAGGCCAAATTTGCCCACTGGTCATACGAAAATAATTGCATGCCACAATTCACTTTTTTCTCAGCCACTCCAAAGTTATTGTTTTGTCAGACCCAATATCAACACCATCACTTAACTGGCAGTCAGGCCAAAGCCTCTCTCTGTACAATAAACGAGAATGGCGAAACGCTTCCCTCCCTTGGCCACGTTGAGCGAGCGGTTGAACATCGACTTTAATATGGCAGGGGCCCGGTGTTATCCATAGCAATGCCAATCGTATAATTAGTCTCCCCCGTTGATAATCTCGCATAGCAATTTACAATTTTTTTTGCCCAGTCCTAGCAGCAACAGATTTTGTGCAAATTGACTTGATGACATTTATTTACCTAGGAAAGCATCATTGGTTGTTAACACACCCGCAGCAGTATTAACGCGTGTGGCCACGGGGCTATAACCACGA